GCAGTCTGCTCTCTGGAGCAGACCTTGTGCAGCAGCGCTGGCCGCTGAGGATTGTGCAGTGATGGCAGGGGTGTTCTGGACCAGTGCTGTCCACGCAGGTGGCCAGGGGCACGTGTGGCTGTCCAGCACTCTGGCTGAGTGGCTGCGGCGCTGACACATTCCCAGCTGCACCTCAGGACAGTTCAGCCCTGGGCCGCAGGGGTCCCTGGGTGTCCCATGGCCTTGATCTCCCGTCCTGTCTGCATCGCAGGCCCCCGCATGTGTCTGGGGGTGGCTGGCACTTCCAGGGGGGAGGCAGGAACAGTTCTGATTGGAGCCCCCATCTGCTTCAGCATTGCCAATCCAAAAATACTCCAGAGAACACAGCTGCCTGGGGTGGGGACCTTCCCCCCCTCCTTTCCCCTTCTGCTTTGTGGTGCTGGGACCCGGAGGCCTCGTGCATGCTGAGCCAGGCTGAGCCGCGTGCCCGGCCCTGGCAGGGGCCCGCCACGGTGCTGGTTTCACGTTCCAGTTCCTGCTCAGACTGTGGCATTTCGAGGGTTCCCTGTGGAGGGGTGAAGTGTGACAGTCACAGCCCTGGCATGAGGCCCAGAACCTCTCTGTGCCGCTCAGGGCCTGGCAGGGGCACCCAGGCCTGGGCCAAAGCTGCCTCGCAGCCTGCTGGGCAGTAAGAGTGGACCTGCGCCCTGGAATGGTCCCTTTGTCAAGCAGGTGGGGGAGCCAGCTCTGCAGGGGCTCCTCGACCTGGCAGGCTGCATCTCCCCGCCTGGGTTCCTCCTCCCTGTGCTCGGCCAGCCTGGGGAGTCACCGTATCGGGGCATCAGTGAGTGTCACCCCACCGTTGGAGCAGCAGGAAGGAGATGTCATCATCTCTAGTCCTTTTGTTTCCAAACAATCCGAGACCATGGCTACCTGCTAAGTCAGACAGATGCTTGGTCTGTGGGCAGCTGGGAGTGACCCTGGTGCGCTGGTCCAGCAGGTAGGTCACGGCGGGGTGCTGTTGTCGGCAGCCTGAACCGACCTGTTTTCACTGTGGCCAGCCAGCTGGAGGGACAGGCTCTGGGTTGGAAACGCCCACCCCGCCCTCCGCAGGTATGGTCCTGGCGTGGCTGGGGCCTGGCATGAGCTCTGGCTCAGTACCAGCCTTCCCCAGGCTCAGTTTCCTGATCTGTAACATAGGTGGCTACTGTCTGTTCTGAGGGTGAGAGAAATTTCTGGTGGTGCCCAGCGCTGGGTTTGCTGAGCAGAGCCCTGGGGAGCCCTGTCCAGCGTCTTGGGCGCCCTCCTGAGCCCCTAGCCAGGCCGGGGTGGTGGCCCTCCATGTCTCAGCCACTGCTTGGAGCTGACTGTAGCCAGAGGACAGAGTGGCCTGTGTCCCCTGCAGGGCCCGAGACGCCTGCTGTGTGCTGCTGCCGTGAGGCCAGCTGCCTTGGTTACCCCTCCCAAGGGTCTGATGTCATGGCTCAGGGCAGCCGGAGGCTCGGCCGCCCACCCCTCTTCCCCACCTTCCGCTCCCCCAGGCCCTGCCCTGTGCCAGCGCCCGCCTGTGTGAATGTCTAATCTCCAATTTTATTCGCTGGACTCCAGCCCATTTGCATAATCCACATAGTCACCCTGGTTTAATTGCCCGCAACTCTGCAGAAAGATCATGTGGTTAAGTGGTAAATCATAATTAGATAAATAATTGGTTTGGCCACAGCAAGCTGCTTTTGTCACACCTGCCATCTGCTGGACCCCGCTTTTCTTCTGGCCAGAACAATGTGGTTCTGATGAGAGAGCACGCTGCTTCCCTCGAGGGGGGCGGGGGCCAAGTGTGGGGTTCGGAAGCAGAGCCTGGACCATTGCCCAGTTGCTGGGTCTCTCTCAGAGCAGCCGTGTCCCACGCCGCCCCATACCACTGCCCCCCACCCTGCGCGGTGATGTGTCTGAGCGGCACCTCTGACTTCTCCGAGGCAGAGGGAGGAGGAGGGAGAGCAGAGCGGGGCCGTAGAGAGGGGGCCGGGAGGGGCGCCTGGAGCTGACCGGCGCCTGCCCCTGCTGGTCGGGGGCCTGGCCTGCCCGAGGGGCAGTGCAGGGCCTGCGCCTGCTCCCTGGGGGCTGGCGGGTGCGGGCAGGGCTTGCAGCCACGGACCTCCCTGCCCGTGCGGTCAGCTTCTCCATCTGCTCCTGCTGAAGGCCCCTTTCTTCTCCGAGCTGCAGGCCCATCTGTGAGCCCAGGAGGCTGCAGGGAGCTGTGGGTCCTGGCTGGCCGGGTGGCCTGGCCGGGTCTTCCTGGGCTGCCGGCACCCTGCTGTGCCCAGCCTGCCAGAGGCTTGCCAGTTGCCCTCACCCCCGCCTTCCCATGGCAGCTGGAGACTGTGCCCTGTGGGTTGGGCCATCGTGGGGTGACCGGAGTAGGTTTCTCCACTCTGAGGGCCTGTTTCTTCTTTTTTTTTTTTTTTTTTTTTTTTGTCTTTTTCCTTTTTATCAGTACCAGGGATTGAACTCATGACTACCTGCTTGCAAGGCAGGCTCTTATGCCGCTGAGCTAAACCCCCAGCCCCGGGCCTGTTTCATCTGAGGACGGTGGGATTCGTCCCTGTCTCTGCGTGTGGGCTTGTCAAAAACACCAAAGGGCAGGTGGGCAGGTGGGGTGCAGGCTGGGCGCTGGAGGTGGCTGGGGTGCATGGCCGCCAAGGACAACGGGGTCCTGGGGTGCGCTGAGGGCCCCTCGGAAGGAGCCACTGCAGAGAGCAGGAGGGGGGTTCAAGGCCACAAAGGCCCAGGCTCCTGCGTCTGCACCCCAGATCCTCCTGAGGACAGACGGGCAGAGGCCCCGCCACCCCAAACAGCCTGCTCCCCCAGGGGCCTCCCTGGGCCCTGATACCATCCTCCCGTGAGCCCTAGGGATGTGTACCTGCGACATCTGCGCTCCGGCCCTTTCTCTGGGCTCTAGGTTCTCTGGGCCCGGTCGCCCTGAGCAGAGGCTCTTGTGTGCCCTGAAAGCCCGCCCAGCCCCGCCGTGAGCCTCGGGGAGCCGCTGCGTGCTGGGGCTCTGGGGCGTTAGGTATTTTCTCTTTGCACCCGTCACCCACCTGTCCGCTCCCCCACCAGGTCCCTTCTTCCTGCCTTCCTCCATCCATCAGCCTTCTCTCCTCTGGGTCCCTTTCTTCCCTGGATGAAGTTATCCATCCACTCAGGCATCCATCATCTGTCCTTCCATGGCCCATCCACCCGTTCATCACTTGTCCACCCCTTGCCGTCCATCCGTCCGCCATCTATCCGTCCATTCGTCATGTCCTTCCATCCGCTCATTCATCACCTGTCCGTCCACTGCCCCACCCACCCGTCCACCCCTCTGTCCACCTCCCGTCTGTCCTCTCGTCCTCCTGCCCACCCAGCCACAGTCCAGCCGTCCACCCCTCCGCAGCGCCTGACGGTGCTCTGTGCTGGCTGAAGGTGAGACTTGCTGGCAGGACTTAGCTGCCTCCCGATGCGATGCGGGAGGGAGCCGAGGGGTTGCCCAAGGGGCAGGACTGGCCAGCCTCCCCGCAGAGCTGCGCCTGGCCTGGGAAGTGCGGCCTCGGGCCAGTTCCCGACACTGTAATGTTCCAGACCTCCCGACCCCAGGCCCCGCCCTGGCCGCGTGCTGAATCTTCCCGGAGCCCTGGTCCCAATGATCCTGCCTTGGTTTCCCCACTAGGCCACATTCGCGCCCCCCCTCCCCCACCAGAGGCCTCACACTTCGGCCCAGAGAATGTCGTTGTAGAAGGTTGTTTCTAGATTCTAGTGTGGTGCAGGCTGACCCCGTGGCCCTGGTTGTGTGCGGTTGTTGAAATTTAATTTTTATAGTGAACCATAAGCGGCCCAGCCCTGGAGTGGACTTGACTGGCACTGAGGGGGACCGAACCGCCCCGTCACTGCGGGGAGCCCTGCCGTGCAGGTGGTGGGGTGTTCGCTTTCTTGGCCCCTCATGAGTGAGGTGAGGCTGCCCTCAGCCATCCCTGGTCCCCGGCCAGGTCTTTCTGGGCGCTCTCGGTAGAGGACGGGGCTGAGCTGGGTTCAGAGTTGAATTTTGGCCTTAGCTGTGCTGCTGTGTGACCTAGCGTTGTTACTGACCGCTCTGGCCGCAGTGATGAGGGTGGGGAACGCTCGAGTGGGCTGAGAGATCCGGTTCCTCCTGTCTGGATGACAGGTACCTTCGGGGAAGGTTGGGGCTGTCGGGAGGCCAGGCGTGGTGGCCCTCGGCTAAGATCCCAGCCCTCAGGAGGCTGAGGCAGGAGGAGTTTGAGGCCAGCCCAGGCCACACAGTGAGCGGCCGGCCAGTCTGAACTGTGTAAGAGGACCCTGCCTCAGACAAAAGAAGCCAGTCTGGGAGCCGCGTGTGTCTCCCCACCCCGACCTGCTTCACTTCTCCCAAGAGGCCAAGAAAGATGGCCCGGAAGGTTCTGGTTCCTGGTGGCTGTGCCTGGTCCCAGGGTCTTGGCTGGCCTGCCCGTGGGCATCAGTTTTCCCAGGTACCACCTCTGTGCTCCATCAGTCCCCAAGCAGTGTGTGTGTGAAAGCTCACTTGGGCCCTGGGTGGCAGCGGCTCTGAGGCGCACTGCAGACCTGAGCGGGGACGGCTGCCCCTGGCCAGACCCCTGGGCCATCTCCGAGCGTCCTAGCCCAGGCTGGTGGCACAGATGGGCGCCTGCCTGGGGCTGCAGGCTCAGCTGGGTGGCTTCAGGGCACAGGCCCTCTCCACCCTCGCGTCCCTGGATGAGCACACGTGGCCTCATTTACCCAGCGGGCTCAGTGACAAAGCCCGTGACCCTGCCGGGGGCCTGGCCACCCCGGGGTCCACCGCGCCCCTGGGCCCCGCCACGGACTCCCTCCGCCTGCTCCCCCTTAATTATTTTTCCCGGCTGTTGTGAATTAAATCTCCCGGTAACCGCAGGAGACGTCCCCGGTAAGGCCCGCTCCCATCTCCGGGCACCAATAGAAGTTGTTAAATGAATAATGTTGACTTACACTGAGGACCCAGCTCTCCCCGAATGTAATTCCCTTTCCAGTTACCGGGCGCTTCCTGAGAAATCATAAAAATAATAAACACGTCTCCGTATCAGAGGTTCGCAGTGCTGCCTCGAATTCTTCTGGGGAGGCATGCAGGGAAGAAGAAATAATTCGAAATTAATTCTTAAGAGAGGATCACACAGTGAGTCAGGCAGCAGAGCGAGTCCTGGTGTCAGATGGGAGGACCTGGACCCTGGGAGAGGAGAGGAGGGGAGGGAAGGGGCCGGGCGGGGAGGACCTGCAGACCCTGGCACACAGGGTGGAGGCTCCCCGTCCTTGGGCTTCCCGTTGACCTCTTGCTGCTGAGGGCACCACGGGAGAGGCCCCGTGGGTTCCGGTAGGTGACACTTGTGCTTGTCCCCGGGCCAGGTGAGGGTGTCACCCAGCTCTGGGCGAGCTCTGTGACACCCGTCCTCCCTGGGCCCGGCAAGGGCCCTTCCACACTGCCTCAGGGCTGCCCGCTGCCCCTGCTCTCTGGCTCCCAAAAGAGGACTCAAGGGTTGGAAGGGGGGCCCCATCGGGGACACGGGTCCCGCCTCACCTCTGCAGGAGGCCCCGTAGGATGAGGATGGGCGCTCCCAGCGGCATGGGGACTTCCCAAGGTCACGAGCAGCCTGCGGCAGGGCCAGGAATAGAACCAGGCACGGGGCTCAGATGGTAGATGGGCGGTGCGGTGTGCGGGCCACAGCGGGGACGGGAGCTGTGGGCCCAGGGCATCCTCCAGGGGCTGTCATCGGGAGAGGAGATCGCTGGGAACTGCAGGGAGAGGTCGATGCCCAGGGGCGGCAGCCGTGGCGGCTGTGAGGGCCGCTGTCAGGTGCTTGCCCGAGTTCAGGGCTCTGTCTGGAGCTGCGGAAAACACAGAGACCAGCGTTTGTGTCCTGGCGGCTCGGCACAGCAGGGGCAGGGTGGCCGCGGGCTGCCTGGAGGGCGCTGTGTGTCGGGGTGGGGGGGCAGCCAGCATCCCGAGGGGGTTGGGGCAGCATCGGGGACTGAGGCTTGGAGGGCCGAGTCGCCTCCCCTGGAGGTGCTGGCCGCCTGGCTGGGAAGGCTCCCTGGAGGACACAGTGTCTCAGCCTGGCAGCCAGGGAGGCCTGGTGTGTGCAGGGCCTCGGTCTGAGCTGAGGGGCACAGGACTTCCAGACCTGACCAAGAAGTGAGGCCTTGAGGGCGGTGGGGACAGAGGATGAGCCTGAGCTGGGCTGGCCACGGGGGAGGAGGCTGCCTTGTAAAATAGGGTGAGGCCTCCTGGGAGAGGGGCGGGGTCACTGTGTGTGCCGTTTCCCAGGCCTCCTCCTGGAGGCTGGTTGATGGCAGGCAGGAGGAGGCCCAGGACAGCAGGGGCATGGCATCTCAAGCTGGGCGGGGGTAGGCAGAGAACACAGCACATGGGTAGACCAGGGCTGGCACCACTGTAGCCCAGGCTGGCCTTAAACTCACAGGACCCTCCTGCCTCAGCCTTCAGAGTGCTCGGATTACAGGCGTGTACCATCACACCCAGCATGACTTCCAAATCTAACCCTTCCCCTTTGCAAGAGCAGATTGTGAGGAGGTAAACACAGCCCCAAGTGCTGGCACACACTGGTATCCAGCCCTCTGCGAGGCTGAAGCCATAGCGTCCCCTTAGAGCCCAGCCAGGGGATGCAGAGACTCAGTCCCTGCGTTTTAAGTTTGTAGAAAGGATTTTGCAAGGGTGCTGAGGATGTGTGGTGGCCCAGGGTTCCATTCCCAGTTGGGGTCAGCGAGGACAAACACAGTCCAGCCAGAGGCAAATGCTCCTCAGTGGTGCAGGGCCAGCGGTGACCTTCACCCTGTTGCCCCTCTGCCTTGCCCGCAGGGGCAGCCAGCTGCTGGGGTCGCTGGGGTCTTGTCTGCGTGCGTGGCTTGAGGATCTTCGAGAAAGGCCGCTGGGACTGGGTGTCCTGGTGACAGTCGGGGAATTTATGACAGGGCCACAGGTGATTAATGAAGACCTTTGTCAGGAGAGGGGAGGGCACAAGAGAGGAAGGAACAGCCCTACGGGACCCTCGCCCCAAGTGTGGCCATGGCGGGGGTGCTCGGTTCTGTGCCGCCCCTCGCAGTGGGGTCACAGGGGCCCAGGGGCACTCAAGCAGTGCAGTGTCATAGAGTCCTGACACCTGTGCCGAGGGGGACAAGTGGGGGAGGCCGGGTCTTAGTGTGTGTTCACAGGCCTCCTGCCCACAGGGTCTGCCTGGGCGCTGGGCCACATGTCAGGCTTCCCGCCGTGCAAAGAAAACTGGGGCCTGGGGACCCCAGCCGGAATTTCTGAGGCTTCCCGAGTTTGTGCGGTTTTGGGGGAGACGTGGGGTGCAGCCCCGGTCTCCTGTCCAGCACAGATGCCTGTGTGGGTGGTGACCTGGGCAGGGTTTAGGGGTGAGGAGCTCCCGTTGGCAGGGACAGCTGGGCCCTCAGCTGCTGAGGGACTCTGGGGGGAACCACCCGGTGTTCTGGGAGACAGAGAGCTCCCTAAGGAGCGTAGCTGTGCCTGCTGCTGGAGCTGTCCTTGTCTCCCAGAGAGGCCACACTGGCCTGGGGTGCATAGTGAGTGCCATCGGGTCTGGCTTTCCTGTGCCACCCCCCCCCCCCAGGCCTGCCAGGGTCGCAGCTGGCTGTTCTCCAGCTGGGTGGCCAGGTGGCGTGGAGACAGGTGTGTCCCTTCCAGGGTCACAACCCCCAGCTGCTCTGAGCCACCGCTGGGTGGCAGTGAGGCCTGGCCTGCCTTCCTTGGGAGCAGAGAACAGAAAGAAGGACAGAGGAGCTCTGGGTCCAGGTGGGAAGGCGGGACATGGTGACCCGCCAGCTGGAGAGCACCGAGCCACTTCCCCAGCTGCTCCCTGCCTAGTCCCCAGGGTGAGGCCAGCGGGGATGAGGACCGAGCCTGGAGGCCAAGTGGCCTTGTGTGTGAGCGCGTCCCAGGGACCCGCAGCCCGCCTTGCCCGAGGTGACGGGGAGTTTCCAGGCACACTGCTCTGGGACATCCACCGGGGTCCTCTGGAAACCACCGGCCACCCCCGCCCCGGCATCCGCTTTCAGATGGAGGCTCCTCCACGGGAGCGTGGCGAGCTGCTGTACCGGGCTTTGGGAGCGTTCAGTGCCCACCCAGAGTTGTGCAACAGCTCTGCCTGTGTCCAGAGCAGCCCACTGCCCCAGGGAAGCCCAGCCCCGGGGCAGTCACTCTGGGCCTCCCTGGCCCCCTTGCCGTCTGCCTGCCCTCCCTGTTCTGGACATTCCATGTCCATGACGTCACCACCTGCGCCCTGTGTGCCTGGCCTTTGTCACTCGGCGCCATGCTTTCCAGGCTCATGCACACTGGAGTGCTGTCCCTGCCTCCTTTTTAGGGCAGAATACTACCCCACGGATGTGGAGTCCTCGGGTGAGACACATGTGAGTGTCTGTCCTCCTTGGCAATTAGGACTTTGATGTCTTTTTCTCCTTTTTGTTTGGTACCAGGGATTGAACTCACAACCTCAAGCTTGCCAGGCAGGTGCTTAAGCCACTGAGCTAAATCCCCAGCTCTGTCGTTGTTTTGAGACAGGGTCTTGCTCTGCGGTTCAGGTTGGCCTTGAACTCGCTTGGAAGCCCGAATCGGGACAGCCTGAGTGGGGGATGCTGGCGTTTTCATCACAGACTCCTGGAGCAACGGTTTGGTACCCTTCTGGGGTCCAACCTGCCCTGCTCCTGACCAGATGTGGCCACCAGGACCTGAGCCCGCGGGGTCTGTGCTCTCCCAACTGCAGTGAGACTCTTAGAGGTGGGGGTGAGAAGGAAGTCAAGCTGCCCAGGCCCCCGCGGCCTGCAGTCGTGGCCACCTGCCCATCTGAGCTGGCTTGGGAGAGCGCTGGCCTGTAGAACTTCCTTTTGAGGCTGCCCCATCTCCTCACACCAACCTGAGGTCATTCCCAGGGCTCCAGCTGGGTGCGCTTTACCTTCCTGCCTGATCCCCAGCAGGTGGGGTGGCTCGTGGTGGTGGCCAGAGGACCACCCGGCTGTGGCGACGAGGATGAGGCCAGCCAGGCTGATGTTCCAAGTCACATTTAAGGTTCGGTGGTGGTGCCTGGCCAGCCCGTGCTAGGCCCAGGGTCAGCCCCGCAGCAGGAGTGTGTTCTCGGGGATCCCGATGGGGCTGGTGCCCCTCGGAAGGTGGGTTTGAGGAGGCGGCCTCCTGGGAATGTGGAGACAGGACGGATTTTGGGGTGCAGTGAGAGGGCTGATAAGCGCATGCAGGTGGCCAGGGCCTCGGACAGCCAGGCCGTGGCAGCTCCGGAGCCATACTCACGGCTGCCCCAGAAGCATCTTTTAGCTGGGACGGATGTAGCCAGGAGCAGAGGGCTCAGCAGGGGACAGGCTGGCCGTGTGGGATTGCAGTGCCCGCTGCCTCTGGCCGCCAGCCTGGGACCCTCCTCACCCCGCCTCGGCGTCTCTCCCGTGCCCTTGAAGCCGTGCTGAGGTTGGCTGGGCACAGCCTCCCAGAGGGCTTGCCAGGTGGACGGCCCAGGGCTGAGGATTCTGAGAGCGCTGCGGTTTTATAAAAGCCTGCTAAAATAAGACTGCTCGGGGACGCATTGCTTCGCCTCTCCGTCACCAGTGTTGACAGTAGGGAAATGTGGCCAGGTTTCTGTAAAATATGAAAATCGGGAAGTGGGCATGTGAGGAAATGCAGGCCTGGCACCGCACCCCCGCCTCGGAGCTGTGTGCAGAGACGTCAGGGGCTGGGCCAGGCCGTGTCGCCCCACAAGCCTCCCCCTGAGGCCCAGCCGGTGCCCACCGCTGCAGAGACCCTGCTGCCCGATTGGGTTCTTGCCAGGATGCTGGTAGCCGACCCACTTCCCGGGGCTGGAAAAGGGGCAGCGGGTCCTGGAAGGCAGGCAGAGACTGCCGGTGCTGGGGCCAGCAGCAGCACCCTAGGCCCACCGGTCCCATGCCCCCTGCCCAAAGTGGGACGCAGGCTCCTGTCCAGACTTGAAAGACCTCGAAGGGCTTCAGCCCCAACCCCACAAGGTCACCGGGTAGCAGCAGGACTGTGGGCGCAGTGGTCACTGGGGATAGAAGAATGCAGAACTGCCAGCCCCGGGGCCTCCCCAGGACTCAGGGCCCCCTCCGGGGGTCCAAGCGCCTCCCTTCTATCCAGCCTTCCTGACTCACCCAGGCCCAGCCTTATAAAGTTTAAAGGTTTCAAATGCAAATATTTCTCTTTTATAGATGCCAGCTGTCTCCAGAGAGCGCGAGTCCTCGCTGCTGAAGTTTATTGTCCAATTAGCTCCCCATATCTGGGTACTGGAGCCTGGGGGGCTGCAGGGGGAGGGGTGCCCGCCAGTGGAGCTGGGCCCTGTGCCCCGGTGCTGCCTGGACTGCAGGCCGGGGAGCCCGGGTCCCCGGCACGTTCAGATGGCCGTGGGGGGAGCGGCGGGCAGGCGGGTGGGCGGGCGGCTGTGCACACTGGCTCCCTTCTTCTCCCCTCCGGTGCCCCCACCCGCCCGCCTTCCAGCCGCGCGCCGCGGCGTCCCCATTCACCAGGGCTCGGCGGCGCTCACAAAGCGAGGCGATTAGAATTGAAAATCTATGCAAAACAGCTGTTAACTGATTGTGAAGAGCACAGCTGTGTGCGGGGCGCCGAGCAGCCCGGCCGGGAAGGGCAGGAAGTGGGGCTGGGCCGGGGGTAAGAGGAAAACTCCTAACCTAGCGCGCGGGCCCTGCCAGGCCTTAACCCCTTCCTGCTGCCCCTCCGCCGTGACCTTGGCTGCCCTTGGTGTCGGGTGCTGGGGGTCCTGGCACCTGTGGAGGGCTGGCAGCGACAGGAGGGGCTGCCTTCCCTCTGTGTCCTGTGCCCTCAGCGGAGCTGCCTGGGGCTGGGGGCTGTCGGGGCGCTCCTCCCCAGGCATCCCTGCTGGGCCGGGAGAAGAGCCTGACACCCCGCCGGTCCCCCAGTCTCTGGCCCCGTGGTGCTCTGAGCTTGCTGAACCTGCGGGGTCCCAGGCCAAGCTGGGAGATCCCGGCCTGTTCGTGCCCTGGCCTGCAATTCAGACGCCCCCAGTACTCAGCCACGCCGGGCTGTGACTGCTGCCCAGAGCAAACTCCAGAGGTGGGAGGAGAAGCCGCTCGGCAAAGATAAGGTTTAAAGGGTTGTGAGGCGTGGTGGCTCACGCCTGTAATCCCAGCACTCGGGAGGCTGAGGCAGGAGGATCCTTGCCAGCTTGAGACCAGCCTGGGCTACAAAGTGAGCTCCAGGCCAGCCCGAACTGCACAGAGACCCTCTCCCAAAATGAGCAAAAAATGAGAGATTTAAAGTGGGCTTTGAAGCAGCACAGGGGGCCAGGGGGTGACAGAGGGTAGGGAACAGAGGAGGAGGCAGCTCAGTACGGAGGAGCTGAGGATGGGGGGTGCTCCCCCACCCCACCCTGGGTCAAGCACCCTTTGGGGATTCAGGGCCCCGCTGTGGGCTGGTGGCCTTGGGGACGGGAGGCCATTCACACAGGCCGAAACCTGGGCGCTCAGCTCTGTGCCCAGCAGCCCCTCAACCTGGAGGGCTTTCTGGGGCCTGGCGTGGACCGGGTGGTTACTGAGAAGCCTGGCCTGTGCACGGCTGTGTTTGCCGCGTGAAGGTCCCCAACCAACGGGGCCCTGCCCTACTGCAGGGGCTCTGCTCCTCCTGGGTCCCGGAGGTGCACTGGATCATCCAGGTGACGCATGAGATCATGAGGTGATGCGGATGGAAGGTGCCACACGGCGCGTGCTGGGAGCAGCTGGTGGGGTGAGGAGCCGGAGAAGACAGACACGCAGGCCCTCTGTGTGCCCATTCCAGGTGGTCCCCGGCCCAGTCAGTGCCCAGATGGTGGTGGCTCCTGAGCCATGCCCTGTCACCTTCCTAATGCCTGGCTGCCTGTAGTGTCTACCCGTCAGTACTGCCCCCTGCTGCCTGGCCCCTGGGCTTTCAAGGGTGTGGAATTTTCAGTGGTTTCTGGGAAGGCTCTTGTGAAACAGTGCCCCAGGCTCTGTGTGTTTGTTGACTGAATAAACACAACCTGCCTTGGTTAGGGACATGCCTTTATTCCTGGCAAGTCCTCTTAGTCCCTGAGCCCTGAGGAGCCCTGAAGTGATCTTGTTTGTGGGATGGGCTGTGCCACAGGTCCCAGGGCCCCAGCTAGAGAGGACACCACACACCCACCCATCCCCGTGGCTGCCTCAGTGCAGACACACAGGCTGGGCGAGGGGCTGCAGCCCTGCTGCCTGCTTGGAAGACCCTGGTCTCCCACCTGGCTGGCGTGGGGCTAGGGTTGGCCAGAGGCACGGTACCTCAATGACCTGACTGCCCGCCGGCTGCTGGGGACCTTGAGCTTTCACCCAGCCTCAAGGCCAGCCAGGTGTCCAGGGAAACAGGAGAGCCAGAGAGGTGGTCAGGAGTGGGGCGCTGTGCGGGGGAGGGCTGGAGGCCAGCCCCAGCACCGGAGCCCTGCGGCCAGTCTCGTTAGCGGGGGAGGGGGTGGGAGCTAGCTGCAGGAGAGCAGTTCCCAGCCTTGGGCTCGGAGGCCGCGCTCTCGGCTCACTAATTTCCTCAGCCGGGTGCACCGACAGTCCGTGTCATTTGTCTCCCGGTGCCTGGTCGCCTGCGTTTTCTTTCTGGCAGGGATGCGCGTAGCCGGTTCGCTGCTGCCCCCTGGCGGCCGCGGGCGCGCCTGGCTCTGTGGGTCGGGCTGGGAACAGATTTCGTCCAGGTGTGAGCCCCGAGGGGCAGGACTCCTATTTCACCTGTGCGCACGTGGCCTTGCGCACTCCTGGGCCTCGGCTTCCTTCCCTGGGGAGTCAGCATGAGCCCACCCGTCTCGCAACTCAGCGAAGCCAGAAGTTTGTGTGGGAGGGGTCAGCCAGCTACTACAACGAGCCGGCGACACCTCTCTGGGGTCATCCGTAAACGGTGACGGTTGGCTGACCGGGCCCTGCTCCAAAAGGCGGAAGGACTTGGCGTCGCCCCAGTCCCTCGCCAGAGGGCCTCCCCACGGGGAGGGAAACACGGTAGACTGCGGGGGACGCGGAGGCCGGGCCTAGGTGTCGTTACCTGGGGAACCTGGCGGGGAGGCAGCCAGGTGCGAGGTGCTTATTTGCATGTTCCTCCCCTCCCCTCCCCCTCCCCCGCCTGGATTCCAGGTGGGAAAGGGGCCGGGGCCGCCCCGGAGGTTTTTAATTTTGTTTTTACGGCTCTGGGCCAGTTGCAGCTTTCTCTCGTCCACCCCATCCGAACCCTCCCCACCACCTCGGGACTCTGGTGGGGGCTGAGGCGCCATCGTCCGGCCCGCTGCGTCGCTGGTCAGTGCGGGACACACATTTCCGGACCTCGCTCGCCCACGGGTGCGTCAATTAAAGCGTGGACCAAGGCCGCAGTGGGGGAGGGAGCGGGGCTGGAGGCCCTAGCGGCGCGTTTCCCTTTTCGTTTGTGGTCGGCCGGGAGCCTTGTGCAAGGCGGGGGCCTGCGCGCGCCGCCCCGGAGGACGCAGGCTGAGTGTGCGCCCCGCTGGCGCGGGCCCCGAGCGCTCCCGGCCCGCCCGCGTCACCGGGAACAGATGGACGGGGGTGGCAGGCGCCCAGCGCGCGCTCCCGCCGCGACTGGGCTGGCGCAGGGAGGGAGAGAGGGAGGGAGGGAGGCGGCGACGGGAGCCCGGCGCGCGCGTGTCTCGAGCCTGGCAGGAGCGCGGGCTGGCACGGGGTCCGGAAGTTAAGACCCCCTGCAGTGAGCCCCAGGGTGCCGTTCGCCGAGAGGCGCGAGAGTGTGAACGCCGCGGCGGCGACTGGAGCTGCCGGGAGCGACCCCGGGCCTCGCCGCGCGCTGGGACCTCCCCTTTGACCCTGCGCTTCCTGGGGTCGCGCGGCGCAGGGGGTGGGCTCGAGGTCGGTGGCCCCCGCCCGCCGCACCAGGATCGCAGTCCGTCTCCGCGCCGCCCGTGGGTGACCCGGAATTCCAGAACGCTCCCTGAGTCATCCGGTCAAGGGCCTGGGTGAGGTCGGATGGGGGGGCCAGGAATGGGGAGGCGCTGCTGGGCCGCGGTGGGTCGGGCCAGTTTCTGGAGGCGGCAGCCTCGCCTCTGACCGCAACCCCAGCTACTTAATGACCCCCCTGGCGCAGCGGCGCCTCCGTGGACTCCCTAGCTCCCGGACCGGGTTCTTTAAAGAACTGGCTCCACCTCCACACCTCTGTGGCTTGTCTGAAAGTTAACTTCGAATGGGCTGGAGGCTTTCCAGAATTTTGGCTCCAAAAGGAAGGGCTCGGTGGCTTGTTAACATTCAGCCCTCTCCAGGCCCCTGGTCCGAGTACGATTAGGCACAGGATGGGGAGATAAATACACAGTGAACCTCCCCCCACCCCCAACATAAACCAGGGCTCAGAAAGTTGTCCTCCAGAGGTCTCCAGAACGCCAGTGTAGTGCATCCGTATGCTCTCAGGAGCGGCGGGGGCTGGGCAAGGTCTAGGGCGCCGAGGGGCAGCTACAGGGCATGGAGGGGCCCTGCACCCGTAGCGGGCGCGCCCTGAGCCACCGGGCCTCAATCCCGGAGCCAAGTGGCCACACTTGGTCGCCAATTCCCTGGGACCCGGGCATCCCGGCCTGGGGGCCCCTGGGATCATGGGGGCGGCACCTCCCTAGACGGACCCGTGTTCTCGGCTCACCTGGCCGGCGGGCCAGGGCGCGTGGTCGCGCGGAGTGCGCCCTTCGGTGCGCGCGTGCGTGCGTGCGTGTGCTTGCGGCTGAAACCCGACACCTCCGCAGGCGGAGGTCAGGGCGCCGGGAGCGAGCCGGGCCGGAGTGGGCGGTATCGCGCTTGGGTGTGTCCTCGCGGCGGCTGCGGCAGCAGGTGTTTCTTGGCCGGGGCCCCGGAAGCTCCACCTCCCCAGCGGCCCGAGCTGCCGCTGCCGCCGCGCAGCCCGGCTGAGATATGCAGTTCAGACAAACACAGGGCGACGGTGGCTCCAGCATGTGTCGGACGAGACGCAGCCGCGGGGCCCCGGCATGAAAGGTGAGCGTCCCGCGGGGGTGCGGCGGGGGTCCCCGGACGCCCCCGCCCGCCTGCGCGCCTCCAAGTTGGTAGGTTTCACAGGGCGGCCGTCAACGGCTCCAGCAACTTCCCCCGAGTGTGCGCGGCGATAAGAGCCGGGCGGGAGCGGCCGTGGCGGCTCAGCCTGGCAGCCCTCGACACGGGGAGGAAAACTTTGCGGCTGCGAGGAGGGGGCGGCCGAGCGCCCCGGGGCAGGTGTTGGCGCGCGGGCGGGCAGGCGGGGGTCCCCTGGGCGGGGCCAGTCTGGGGCCTTCTCGGGCCTCCCCTCCCCCACCGGAGGCCCGGGAGGCGGGAACGCAGTCTCCCGGGTCGCCGTCCGGGGCAGGCGCGCGCCCCTCCCCCGCGAAGATGGCCGCGCGCGACGGAGAGGCCGGGGCGCATCCGCCGCCCCCCGCGCACGCCCAGCCTTCCTGCTCCTGCTCCGCCTGGATGCGCTCCCCGCCCCCCGCCTGCCGGCCGGCGAACAGCCGCCCGAGTGAAGCCGATTCAATTATATTGCAGCACCAGAGACACCTCGGCCGCCCGCCTGCCTGCCTGCCTGCTTCTCCAGCAGGCTAATTAAATTCCCTCCGTGGAGGCGGAGCGGGCGTCGGGCTCACCTCCCCGCGCCGCCCACCCGGCCCCGCGCCGCCTCTCGGGGCGCGCGGGGGAGGGGGGACCCTGGGACGCCAGGGGCAGGCTAGAGCAGGGAGATCCCCGCGGGGCGGGGGGCCAGGGGACCTGGCCGGGAGGCACCTGCTCGCTGGTGCTGGGGCATGTCGGGGGGCCATGGAGTCCTTTAGGCTCTGGCTGACTCGCCTGTGTGGCCTTTGTGTCCAAGTGCGTTCTAAAGGCCCTAGAGCCGAGGTCACCCCTGCGGGTCCTGTTGTGGAACCTGAGGAGTAGGGTGGGGGTCGTCCAGCTTTGGGAGGATTTGGGAATAGACTGCAGGACCAAGGAGAAGGCAGCTCCTGTAAAGGGGCCTGGGAGTCCCCAGCGCAGGCCCACACTCAGGGGCAGGGGTGCTGCTGGCATGTCCCTGGGATTCTGGTCTCTGTCCCTGGAGGGCCCCCAGGGTTAGCCGCCTCCCGCCCTCCCTCCGCCTCCTCCGGGTTACTTAAGCTCGGAGCCTCGGAGTTGCTCACCGGTGTTTATGGCCGCCCCCGCCCGCAGGGACAGCGCAACCAGAGGCGCAGCTGCCTGACTCAGCCGCTCCACAGGTGAGAGAGCCCAGGGCGCAGGCTCCGGCTGGCAGCGGATGACACAGGCTCCAGGCAGGAGGCAGTCACGCCCGCCCTCCGAGTGGAGCGGGGAGCGCCCACCCGGGCAGGCCCGTGGCAGCAGCGCCTCCCCCGAGCCAGCGGAGCGGGCGTGGGGGTGTGCCCCAGCCATCCCGTGCGGGACTAGGTTTTGTCACTCTGGCACCAGAACTCGATGCTGAAGCCAGGAGGGGACTGGGTGACTGTGGCCAGCCAGGGCTGTGACACTTGGCCTTTCTTTCCTGGAGCCCAGGGGTGGTGCTGGACCAGAGCCCGGGGTCAGCCCGCCTGGGGAGGGGAGGCCAGGCCTGGCTCTGGGCCCGTCTGACCGCCGGCCCCCGGGCAAGGAAGGTAGCAGCAGGCTGTCCTCACTCCGCAGGCCCTGCCCAGCTGGGGACAGCTTTCAGGACCTTGGCTGGGTAGCAGCAAGGGGGCTGATTTGAGAAGGGGCAAAGAAGGCTTGTGTCCCCGGCCTGGGGCGCTTCCGAGTTCCTGGGAGATGTAGATGTGCGGTGGGGGCTGGGCTCCGCCCGGCTGGGGAGCTTGTGAGGTTCCTGGAGGCCAGGCTGGTCTGGCCGGGTCACAGCAGGAAGCCTCGGGGCTCGGCCCTCCCCTGCTCCCTCTCCCTCACTCCCCTCGGCGCGGCCTCTGGCTCTGAGTGACTTCCCTATGCCTGGAGGAAGTCCAGGCTGCAGACCCAGAGCCCTGTGGTTTCAGGGCAGAAGTCGCCCCCCGGCTGAGCCGCCAGCTGGAGGAAGGAGAGCTGGGTGGCAGCGCCACGGTGTGGCGGCCAGGGCCTGCCACCCCAGGAGTCCCAGCTCACCCCAGGGCCCTTGTTTATATTTAGAGCTATGCTGCTTGTGCTCGCACTGTGGAGCATTGGGAGGGGCTTCCGACGGGCACCCCCTCACCGGGGCACAGGTGGAACCTGGCCGCCACCTCTCCCCTGCCCCCGGGAACTCGTAAGGGCTTGTGAAGCCAGCTGGTAAGGCCGGTTTTTCCTGGCCCCGTCCAGAGCCTTGGAATTCCCAGCCTGGGTTAGTTACTGGAAGTCCACAGCCCGGTGGGGCTGGCCCAGTGCCCTCTCTGGGCAGCGTGTTAATTACCTGTCTTGCGGCGGTGGCAGCGTCCTCCAAACCACAGGGCTACGTGCGGCCTCCCTCGCTCCCCCCTTCCTGGCGCTAAGACGCTTTCACGAGGGGGAGCTGGTTCCTGACCTGCAGGGCCCCCTGGTCAGGTGACATTTCAGCGTGTGGGCCGTGCCACCCACTGGCTCCCACCCCACCCCAGTCTCAGGTCTCCGAGGCCAGGCCAGCCAGGCCAGACCTGGCGAGCGGGGACTGGAGCTGCTGGCTGCACTCCCCACCGGAGCCGGCCTTTCCCTGGTCCCAGGCCACAGCCAGGGTGGTGACGCTGCCAGTGTTCCTGTCGATGAGAATTTATGGAGCACGGGCTGCTGGGAGGTGTGCACACAAATAAAACAGGAGCTCACTGCCAGGGCGCAGCCCGGGCCTTTGCATCTTGCTTCTGCTGGCCGCTCCCCCACCCCCGCCCCGAATGGCGCCCTGCACCCTGTCCTGCCGGGCTGGGCTGCCCCTCGGCCTAGAGCTGTGCACTGAGCTGCAGACCCTGCCTGCTCCTCCCCTCAGAACACCTGTCACCCCGGCCCACAAGGGGGTAGCTGACCAGAGAGCTTGTAGGGAGGCCAGCAGGAACTTCACCAAGGAGGGGACAGGGCCGAGTCGGAGGATTTTGGGGGTCCCGACAGAGCTGAGGGTGCAGTGGCCTCCAGCCAAGCAGCATCTTTCTCAGGTGGTTTGCTTGGCCATTGCCTAGGGGCCTCGAAAAGCGCCGGTGCCAGGTGGTGCCTGTGCCCAGCTGAGCCCGGCTTTCTGGGGAAAGGGCAATGTTCTTTAACCCTTTGCCGCACGTAGTGGGGGACAGCGTGTTGCCCTGGGAGGGTGATCTGGGGGTGCCCGTGACCAGGACAGGGCTGTGGGAGGTGGGGGCATGGAACTCCTGACCAGGGGTGATGCCAGGGGCGAGGGATGGGCACCCACGTGTACTGCGGGCGCCTGGTCCTCCCAGAGGCCTCAGCGTCTGTCTGAGGAGGGGGAGCCTCACCGCAGCTGCCACCTTGGAGTTGAGGGGTCCAGTGCCCAACATGGGCCCGCCCTGCAGGGTTGCTGGTGCCCCTGAGCACAGTCCCTCCTCTGGGCTCCCAGGATCCAGAGTGGGGGTGCTGTGTAACCTCCCTGCCCCCTTGGGGGCTATGTCTGGGGGTTGGGGTCTGGGCGGGGGGCAGGCACGTTAGCACAGGGCTGGCCCCCACCCCCCCCACCCCCACCCCGCCTGCCCTTCCTGCGTGGCTGCGGTGGGTCCGTGGCCGCAGGCTGCAATAAAAGGCATCGATCCTGACTCGGTCAGCGCTGTATCGATGTTGGACAGGTTAAGCTGTCCCAGAGGAATCCATGTGTCAGCCGAGGGGGATGGGCAGGGGCGGCTCCCCGTGAGCTGCTTGCTGCCTCCTCAGGGGTGCTGCCCAGGGCGCCAGCAGACACCCCCACTGCACTGCCTCCAGGCGGGCCTCGAAAGTCTCAGTGGGGGTCCCCTGTGTCTTGGCATCCCTGGGAACTGTGACCTCCGTGGTCAGGCCAGCCCATGGGTCAGCTGTTGGGTACAGGGCATCGCCCTCCGCCTCATCCTGCCTCCCTCGGGGTGGGGCTGACTGCAGGAGACCGAGTCTGGGGAGCGTGGAGGGTGTGGGGCTGGGGCGCCTCGTGGAACGAGGAGGCTGCGGGAGCCACGCAAGGCCTGCCGCAGGTCAGCGCTGGGCTCTGGGTGGGAGCGAAGGCCCTGCTCAGGCTGGGATGCGCCAGCGGGGGGAGCTGGCTCTACCTGTGACCCAGGGTTGGGGAGGACGCGGCAGGAGCTGGAGACCTTGTGTTAAAGTCCCAGCTACAGTGCTCAGCCTGGCGTCCCTCAGTCCTTCGATCCTTGAACTGTTGGGGACCTTTCTGTTGGCCTCTTGATTTCCAGGGACTGTGGAGCTGGCAAAGCTGGGGAGCGAGGTGCCCCCTGGGGCCGCGGCTAGTTCTGTTAGGTTCCCACATCTTTGTCTTTGGTCAGCTTGGTTTCCCTCGTGGGCCGATGTTTCACAGAACCTGGAGGCTCCTCGGTCGGGGCCCAGGCTCTGGCCCGGTGGCTCTGAGGAGCTGGTGTCCAGCCAAGGCCACTGAGGTTTCCCAGGCCGAGCTCTGCCAGCCACGGGGTGGAGGGCGTGAGTGCCGTGGGCCTGGGTGCAGCCCCCGTGGGTATAGACCGCGTCCTCGCTGGGCAGTGATTTTCCTGGGGTGCAGCGTGCTGCTGAGTGGGGTGCTTTTCTGTTGGGCTGTTTTCTGCGTGTGGCCCCTGGTGAGTTGAGGACAGCGTACCTCAGTCAGGTGTCAGGCCAGGCTGGCAAAGTGTGTAACAGGTCCGACGGGGTTCGAGGTCTCTCCCGAGACCCAGTGGGGTGCTGTGCGCCACGGGTTCTGAGAAGGGAGGATGCCTGGGTATGAGCCCTAAAGCTGGAGACGGAACACCTCTGACCTCCCCACCCCTCGGGGCTCCAAGATAAGGTGACGCAGGAGGAAGCCATGCTGCCCCGAAGTTGCCCACAGAGTCCCTAAGGCATGGGACAGTCATCTTCAGGCTGGAGCTCGATCTCCATGCTGTCCAAATGCAGATGCCCCGGACTCCACACTCCTGACATCCCCACGCCTCCAAGGCCCACACTCCCAGGGGCGGGAGGAGGGGAGGGGACCCCCGCCTTGGCCTTGAGTGTTTGCACCCTGGCAGGACCTGCGGGAAGCTTCCTGGGTGGGCTTCCAGGGAACTTTGTCACTGAGTCCCTGAGAGCATAGCCTGTCCCGAGCCTCGGTTTGCCAGAGAATTCACAAGTTCCCAATGAGCGTGAGCATGACTGGGGAGCCAAGGAGAGGAGAAGCAGCTGGTTTGGACCTGGGTGAGGTGGTCGGAAGACGGTGGCTATGGTGCCCTAACGGCAGCAGGCCTGGGATGTAGGGGCTCACAACTGCTGGGTCCTGACCCTTGAGGTGAGCCGTTTCCCGATGGCCCCCCTTTTGAAGTCCACCTTGAAGGAGGAGGGTTTGTGTTTCCATCAAAGCACCTGATAATACCTGGGCCTGGAACTGAGGGGCTTTGAAGATAGTAGATGAGCCTGACTGGAAGACAGCCTTAAAATTTAGAGTATTTTGGAGCTTACCTTTGACCCCCACACACACACACTCCGGGATCATCTCAGCCCACACAGGCCTCATATTAGAGACCCTGGGCTCCAGGTTGCCGCTGGCTCCTCGGGCAGCCCCCTGTGGGGAGGGGAGGGGAGTTCCCCTGGAAGAGGTCTGCTGCCACTGGGGAAGTGGAGCCCGTGAAAGCAGGTGGCTGTCCGCGAGGCAGATCCTGGCTTGAGCTGCCCGGCCTTGAGGCGGCTCTGGCCTGGACAACTCCTGGAGCCCTGGGGGAAAGAACCAGTGGGCGGTGTTGGCCCAAGGGTCCTGGCTGTGAGGAGGTCGCCACCTTCCTCGGGGGCCCTGTGTGGGCACGGTCCTGTCCTGGGGCCAGGTCTGCATGCGGGTTGGGGCCGGGGGCAGGGGCCTAGAATGAGGGGGGGAGGCCTGGGGACACCCTGAGGTCGGCCGTCCACAGTCGCTTGTGGGACAAGTGGTTCTGTGGCTCCCAGGTTTTCAGGAGACACTGAAACCTGATCCTGGGTCCAGTCCGTGGGTCTGTGTTGCCCATGGACACCATTTCTGCCGTACCGTGTGGCCTGGGCCAGGCAGGGGCAGGTGACCAGTCGAGGAGACCAGAATCCGGGTGGCACAGGTGCTGCCAGGCTCCTCTGCCCAGTCTCAGCCTCCCTGTCCCCGGCTGCCCCCCCCCCCCCCCCCCGCAGCCTGTCACAGTCTACCCCTGGTGTCCACTGCTCCCAGGCACCTGTGGACAGCTGCCTGGGCTCGTCTCAGTCTTGATTCTCCGGGGTGAGGCCCAGACTTAGCACTGCAGTCCCATGGGGGTTCAGGAGCCCTGGGCTTTGTGGGGACCTGAGGGTCAGGTGCAGCCTGGCAGGGCCGGGCCACCCTCCACGCAGATACCGCAGCCCTGACCCTGCTGGCGCTCAGCCTGCGCCATGGAAACTTGGAGGCCTCTGCGGCCAGCGCGGCCGGCTTGAGTGTCCATCCTTGGGACCTTGGGGCCACTGCAGGCACCTCCGCCCCAGGCCAGCAGGTGGCTTGAAAGGGCCCTTTGTGACGCTCTGGGTCGGAGGGTGGTTGGTCAGCTCCTGTGCCACAGGACACGGGCTCCCTCTGTTTGCCCAGGAGCTGCTATGATGTTAACACCTCCCTCCCTGGCCCCTTCTGTCCCCCATCCTGATCTCGCCCGTAACCTGGGGTTCACCCAGCTCTCCTATGGGCCTGCAGAAGAGTGGGGAACCCCCCTCGCTGCCTCAGTTTACCCTTTGGAGACTGGGGTGCCAGGGAATAGAACGCAGCACGAGCCCGAGCATCAGCAAGGCCCCTGTGCCCAGAGCCGCACCAGCAGCAGGTGCAGAGGCCGCGCTGTGTGACTGTCCCCCCCCCCCCCACGCCTTTGCTCGGGTTGGTCTGTGGGCTTCCCTCCAGGGAGGGGGCAGAGGGCTCCTGTTGGGGCCCACAGATGGCCACACCCTCTGGCCAGGGTCTGTCTTATGCCCGCCTGCCCCTTCTCCCAGCTCACGGCCCTGCATCTGTCCCTACTTAGAATAATCGCGTCCAGCGTCCTCGCCATCTGCTGTCTGCCTCTGCCCCGGCACCTCAGGGCCTCTGTCCAGGGCAGTGTCAGGGTCGGGGCCGTCCTTTCAGCCCACTCTGCACCCTCCCCTTCCCCAGCCAGGCGCCTCTCTGCTGCCCCAGCCACCAGGGACCCCGCGGCCAGGCCTGGCAGGGAACCCAGTTATCAGGGTCCCAACAGGTCTGGAGAAGGACCTTTCCCGACACCGTACCCTGGGTTTGTGTGCAGAACTCAGCTTGGCCGGGGACAGCCAGGACCCCTCTTCTGCCCTGTTCACCCCAGGACTGTGGCTGAGTGCGGGATGCAGGATTCACCAGAGCCGTGGGGCAACCAGGCTTGTGCGCCTCGTTCTTTGGGGACCCGCGTCTACCTGGTGCTCACTGGGATTCTAGGGCCGGGTTCCTGAGGGCACTGTGCACTCCCCTCCCTTAGGGCCACCTGTCCCGCTTTCCTGCACCAACAGTTGCTGCTGTCACGACCTTGAGCACTGATCTTGGCAGGTGGGGGGCACTCCTGCAGCCCGGGGGTCCCTGGGGGCTGGCCTCTCCCCACCCCTGCTGCCCAGACAGGCTTCGTTCTGAGAGCTCAGCACAGGCCTCAGGCAAACATGATAATGAATTTATCACAGAGCTGCGCAGCACTGGGGATCACCTCGTCCCCCCACTGCTGCAGCCATCCGGTCCTGAAGCCCGGGTCACCCCACTCTTATTAGGGCGGCAGGAGCATCCCTTCCTTGGGGGCAAGACGGGACGCCTTTATTCACAGACATTTCTACAGTTGTGATAAGCAACCCCAGAAGGCCGGGTAGAGAATCTGGGTGCAGATTGAGCAGGCGGCCTGCCCTCTGGGCCCCCTTGAGGGTGTAATTATGGGGATGCTGGGGGAGGCGCAGGTCGGTGCTTGATCTGGGATGGCAGCGGCTGCATCTCAGCCATTAGCTCGTAATTACAGAGCGGGGCGGGGCGCAGGCCTGAAGAGCAGGCTTGAAAGGAAGCTGTAATTACAGGGTCTGCAGGAGGCTGGGGCCCAGGCTGCCACGGAATCAGGCTGCAGACCCCCCCAGTCCCAACAGCGAGGGAGCCTGCCAGGTCCCTCCCACAGGTCCAGGAACAAGGTGGCCTTGTGGTCCTGCCTGGCTCACCACCGCACCCCCCTTCCGCAGTGTGGCACTCAGAGTGACTGCATTAGAGTCCAGGCAGAGAGGGGCGGGCAGAGGTGTCCAGGGCCCAACAGGAAGGTGGTCCCTGGGCCACCCCACAGGTGCTGTCAGTGCACCTGTGTTCCTCTCCCCCTGCCCTCTGGCTCAGAGCGCTGAGGCTGAGGGGGACACCCCCTGGTCCTGGTTTCAGGGTGCCTGGGGCTGAGGCCGTGTGGTCTGTAGATAGTCAGTGCCTCCTTGGGGTGGGGGATGAGGGTGCCAGCAGCAGGGCCCCATCCCTGGCCCTGGCCTTGGCCTTGGCGAGCTGAGCTGAGGCACTAGTGAGTTATGTGAGTGGTCCTGTGGATGAGGCTCGGGGTGCCTGGGGTGCGGGACACAGATCCACTAGTACCTCTCAGGAGGGTGCAGAAGCAGGGCCCTGTACCTGCTAGCCCCCTGGGCCACTGCCTGGATGGGGTGCCCCCTGTCCACCTGGAGGGGTGAGGGCCTCTTCCTGGGTCTCCAGGTCGCCCCCAAGGTTGGCCACCTGTCCTTGCGGGAGCTGTCCACGGGCGGCCTGTCCGGCTGCACGTGGCATAGCAGAGATGCTAATTTTAGCGTCCCCATAATGAAGCGGCCGCCTGATTCTATTGGCAGTGTCCTGACGTCAGCAGGGCAGCTTCCCAGGCTGGAGCACTGCCATTGTCCGGGATGGTTCCAGGGACCCCAGGGCGGGAGGGACCTGGGTTTTGTCTGGATGCCCACGAGAGTGTGGCAGTGACCTTGAGGTGGCCATGGGCAGGGCACAGGGTACACAGGGCAGTGGTACCTCGGGTCCATGGGCACAGGCGTCCCTAAGCCCCCGTCCGGGGTAGCCTAGGAGGTGGCCACAACCTCTTGGAAAGGGTGCCCGGCAGGGACATCATGTCTACTCCCAGGCCTGGGGATGGTCACCCACAGGAGAAGGGACCATGGCACCTGAGTGCATGTCGGATGGGAGACGAGGTTACGGCAGGGCAGGCGGGAGTGGGGCGTTCCGGTTGCGCGACTTGAGCTGCCTTTTCTGCAAGGTGTGCAGACACAGGTGGTCCTAGGCGGGGCAGGGCCTCAGCCCCAAACCTAGCGCCTCACTTCCTGCTGTGCCCCTCTTACTGTGCTCTTCCTCTGGGCTTTGGGTCTCGAGGGTGAGGAGCCACGTGAGGACTAGGCTCTGTCTCCTTTATTCCACTTAGTGGCCCGGGGTCTGAGGCCACCCGTTTCCTGCCCCATTGCAGGCTGTCCTTGTTTATAGCACTGTAGTGCTCCATTATGTAAACACTGTTTTCTTTCTCTGTCCGTCTGTCCATGAGTGCAGCGCGCAAGGCGACCAGCTGGCCTGTGTGACAGCTGTCTCCTAGGTGGTGGACTTTGTGGGCCCCTCCTCCCCGTCTCGTTGCCCCGGGTGCCTTGTTGAGACCCCAGGCCTCGATGGTTCATGCTGCTGCCCTCCTTGGAGGTGTGGGGCTGTGTCAGCCAGCTGCCTTGCCTGCTCGGGTCAGGTCCGCTGGCCGGGAGGGGCTGTGGCTCCCCAGGTGCTGAGGCCCCAGGAGGACTCCCGGGGCGAAGCTGACAGCTGGGGTCTCGTGTCAGGGTGGATGGGCATGCGATCATCCCCAGCTAACCTGTGCCGCGTTACAGAGGAGGAAACCAAGGTGTGCAGGCGGGAGTCGGCTGGGGGCTGTCCCTCCCCGGGCCTGGCGGAGTCCCCGGAGAGCTGCTCCCCCACGCCTCCTCCTCCAGAGCCTGAGGGAGGGTGTAGGGTGGCCTCAGGGCTCCCTGGCTCTGACCTGTGTCCATGTGACCTGCTGCAGCCCGAGGCCAGTGCCACGCCATAGGCGCCTGGGGCCTCTGCCGGGGGAGGCTCTGGCCGAGCCTCAAGAGTGCCTTCCCTGCCCAGGATGGTGTGCCGCCCCCACCCTGCTCCCTGGAATCGGGCGGGGACTACGGGCAGGCCCGGGATGTCGCTGGGGCCCTGTGCTGTCTGGTCACCCGTGGGAGCCCTGCAGGGATTGGGTTGGGCTCTGGGGTCATCCGGCTCAGGCTGGGGTGGGAGTGAGTGCCGCTCCTCCCCCCTCCCCTCCTCTTCCTCCTCTTCCTCCTCCTCCTCCTCCTCGTCCTCCCCCTGCTCCCCAAGCCCTGTCTGCGTGACTGCGCTGTCCCTGCCGCAGTTCAGCTCCCGTGCGTGCCTTGGGGACAGCCACAGGAGACGTGGCTGTGGGCCTGGGAAGGCTGGGGTGTGGGGAGGTGGCCGTGCCGTCCTGCCCACCCACACAGATTGGGTTTGCAGTTCTCTCTGGAGTGCGGCGGGGACAAGTGCCAGCCCTGCTCTGGCAAAGGTCTGGGGCTACACTGTGGTCATCCTGGCTGTGCCGAGGGGTGGCCCTGTCTTTCCTGCGGTCGGTCCTGAGGTCTGTGCTGTTTCTGCGGCTCCCTGTGTCCCTCCCGGTATCCCTTGGTCTGGGGCCCTTCAGGTGGCACTTTGGCATCCCTGCGGATCCAGCAGGGCTTCGGGACGCAGCTCTGTGCTCCTCCCTGGCTCTGTCGCCTGTGCACCCTGCCTGCCCACACGCTGCCTGCCGCGGTGCCGCGGTCTCCGCGCCCTGGGTGACCCTGGTTCTTCTCTTCCTGTTTCAGGCATGAGCCATGAACCCAAGTCCCCTTCGCTAGGGATGCTTTCCACCGCGACCAGGACCACCGCCACCGTCAACCCCCTCACCCCCTCGCCGCTCAATGGCGCCCTGGTGCCCAGCGGCAGCCCCGCCACCAGCAGCGCACTGTCGGCCCCGGCCGCGCCGTCCTCCAGCTTTGCTGCCGCACTGCGCAAGCTCGCCAGACAGGCGGAGGAGCCCAGAGGTAAGAGGCCCGCGACGGGCCGGGCCGGGTCGGGCCGGCCGGCAGCACCGGGAAGCAGCTGTCTGCACCCACACACGCTCTGCTGTGCTTCGCCTGCATGGGCGCTCCTGTCCTCTCCAAGGCCGCCGTGGGGCACCTGCTGGGCTCCCGACGCCTCCCTGGCAGCCATCCTCGGGGGCAGGTGATCCAGGTGGGGCAGAGCCCTGCTGACTGGACCCTGAGGTCCAGAGCTGGGATTCTGGTGTCTCCGCGGCTTGTGTCCGTGGGCTGTGGCTTCCAGGCTCCTTCCTGTGCTGGCCCGGAGCCCTTCCCGGGTCCCGCTGGCTATGGGCCTGGGCGCTGTCAGGTGATTGCTCCATCAGGTGACCGGCTTGTGACTGCAGCTGCTGGGCCCTCCCTGCCCCAGGGCTCCTTGCTCAGAGGCAGGGGGCCGAGGATGTGGGTGCCCTGGCAGCCTCCACCTGCCACCTGCCCTGTGCTGAGGCCAGGGTCCAGCAGCACAGTTCAGGACTGCAGGGAGTGCTGTCCCCTGGCTCCACAGGGTGGACGGGGCCCTGACCCGGCTGTCCCTCACCATCCCCTTCCCTAGTAGCATCAGCCCACAGCCCTGAGTTGGCTGAGGTGCAGGTGAGAGCTCTGAGCAGAGCGCTCCAGGGGTCCCCGTTCCCAGCTGTGGACACTAGCCCCTCCCACCGAGTGCAGGGCCCACCTGGTGGGTGTGGCTGCAGCCTCTGGAAGCCAGCAGACTCTTGGGACAGGTGTCCCAGCCTGTGCCCAGGGAGAGGGAGGACCCCGTGGTACGGTCTTACTGATGGGGAACCCCACCTTCTGCGCCTGCAGTTCTGGGGGTTGAACTCGTGTTGTGCTGGAATGCACCCCACCCTGCCCTTTGGGGTTCTGAGTTGTCCAGGCGACACTGCACTGCAGCCCTCACCCTCTTCCTGCCCCGGCCTCCCATCCCTGTGGGGCTTGACGTCTAACATTTAGGGCTTTTTAGAGTTTACACTCCGTGAGGTTCGTCCAGTAAGCATAGGCAGGTGGTTTTACTGGACTCAGGTTAGTCCAGCCGTGCCCTCTGTAATCCAGAGTGTCCACAGCCCGTCCAGCCTGGCTAGTGGCATCTCAGTTCTGGGTTCTGGGTCCCCTTAGGTCCTGCCCTCAGCCGACATCTGAGCTGACTGTCATGGTGTCCATGGCCTCAGCAACCCCAGGACTGTGGGTACAAGAGGGGACCCACGGTCAGGCATCCCCAGGCTCCTGTACACAGGGCCGCAGCCCGGTCCCCTCCGCTGCTTGGCTGGCCAGCACAGGCCGCTGCCCTCCCTCACTCGGCTCTGCACACCCGCTGCGGTGTCTTGGGCTGACGTTGCTCCTTGCATGTCTTGTGGGTCCTGCTTAAAGACGGTTCAGACAGAGTGACCGGGCCAGGTGGGCACCTGGCCTGCTGTGTGGCCAGTCTGGTGTCCACCTGACTCGGGGCACACAGGCAGGCGGGCGCTCTGGGGCCGGGCCCCCTCTGTGGCCCATTGTCCTCCATGCCTCTGAGGGTGGCCCTGTCCCTAGGGATGGGGCGCCATGGCCTTCCGTGCTCATCATCCTCTGCCTTTTCTGGGCAACACAGGTGCCCAAGCCTGCACCGAGTCTTCTGGAAAGGGCGTTGGGCCGTGCGCCATCTGGAGCCTGGTGCCACCGGGCTGCATCCCAGCCTGGTGGTGTCATTGTGGGGGATGGGGGTGTTCCCTGGGCAGGCGAGGCTCCACCTAACTTTGAAGTGACCCCTTACCCACCAGCACACAGTGCTTGGGAGTCCCCAGTGACCAGTCCACCCCTGTCTGCACCCCAAGCCCCTGGGCCTGCCCGTAGGCCTCGGTCCCCAAGTCGTCCTGCAGACTCAGCCCTGCAAGAGACTTTGGCCTGCCTAGCCTGCGGGCCCTTCCCCCTGGCAAACCCGGTTGCCTGCCTGCCCCAGCCAGGGCCTCCTGGAACCTCTCCTTCTCTGGGCCCACAGAGTCCCAGCCACCCCCGTCTGTGCGTGATGGCGCCGGGGCTGTGCCAGGCGAGGCTCCAGCTGTGTGGCAATCTGCTGTCTCCCTCGGGGAAGCGGCGCCGTCTGCTGAGGGTGGAGCTGCAGCCTGGAGCTCGTAGCATTCCCTGCCCACGCAACACCGGGCGCTGTGTGCCCCTGTTCCGGGGAGGTGGCCAGGATGGGGCGGGGCAGGACGGGCTCCTGAATGCCGGCCACAGGGGCCAGGGACTCTGCTGTGGACGGTCAGGGAGCCCCCTTGGGATGGTGGCCGCCCCAGTCTTCAGCACTGTCGTGACCTGTGGCCCGGTGGTCACACTCTTTGCAGCCTTGCCAGCACTAGAGGGATGACGGCTGAGGGTGGCACTGCTGGTGGGCACCGGCTCCAGTTCCGCCTGTTTGCTGTAGTGGCATCTCCTGGCTGTCTGCCCGTCCTGTTGCAGGCTTTGCAGGTGAACAGGCCAACGGGGGTCTGGGTACCAACAGGTCCTTGGTGCTAGAAACTGAGATCCTGGCCCAGGCGCAGAGGCTGGCGCATCCTGGCGTGCCCAGGCTAGGTGTCACCCGTGGGCAGGTCTGGCAGGGCCATCCTGCCACCGCCCACCTCGGAAATCCGCCTCTTTCAAAGAAGACAGCAACACAAACATGGTGGTGCCGCCCACCTGGCGTGGCAGCCTCATGCGTGTCCCCGTGCTGCTGGTGGGGCGCAGGCATCTCCAGGCGGTGTCTGGTGTCCCCATCTGTTGTGTGGCACAGGTGTGAGTGTAGCAGGTGTCCTTGGCACTGCAGTCCCCTGGCTCTGGCACGTGGGCGGCAGCGGGCCCAGGGCAGGAGGCAGCTGATGAGGTGGGAACACTCGGAAAGCATCGTGGACCCAGCAGGTGTCTGAGGCCCTCCCAGGGTGACACATCAGGGGACCGTGGGGATGGGTCCCCACCCCGAGGCACCACTGCCTCTTGGTCATCGCTGCCGTTGTCCATTCCTCCCTCCTTGCCCCATATGTCCCTAACATGCAGCAGCAGCCGGACCCCTCGGGGATCCACGCCCGCTCCAAGCCTGTCCTGCATGCCATTCTGAGCACTGGACCCTCCGTATCGGGCCGAGGATCACCCCTAAGAAATGCGTCCAAGACGTCTGGCCCCAGCCCTGTACCCGCCTCCCTCACCCCTGCTGCTGGGCACCAGAGTGGCCTGGTCATGTGCCAGGTGACGGGTAGGCCTGCCCTGAGCAACCTGCAGGCTGCAGTGGACAGTGAGCTTGGCACCTGGCTGCCTGCCTGTCCCTGCTGCTCCTGCTGCACTAGGACCTGGGGGACTCCTGAAGGCTGCCCACCTCTCAGCCTCAGCCTCAGTGCTGTGCGCCATGCATCCCACCTGGGCTGGCTGGCATGACCTCAGGCCGTCGTCACACGCCTTGGGGTCTGTCACAGGGAAAGGAGGCTGGGCCAGGTCTGGGGTGACCTGGTTTTGCCTGCTGGCCCCTCATCCACTAGCTGGTGGCATCCTGCTGTCCCAAGGGCCCTGTGGGAGGCCTTGGAGTCTCCCTCCTGCCCAGCAGGGCAGCCCCACAGGCCCCGGGGGGATGCAGCACGGGGACCCTGGGGCCGAGGTGGTAGGCAGGGCCTTCCCACTGGAGGAAGCGGCTCTGTGGTCAGCCCTCACCTCGCCACCAGCACTAGTGCAAAGTGAGGAGATTGGATCTGGGTACAGATGAGACCAGGCGGACTGCATTCCTGGGGAGCAGGCCGGGCATCCCTAGTGCCAGCACATGACAGGCAGAAATCCTGTCACTGGGTCGCCCACTGCGCTGTCCCTGTCTGCAGCATGGGGTGGGGGGACGGGAGGTGCCGAGTCCTTTGGGGGAAGCTCAAGAGCCGGGCTGTCACCCTGCCAGTGCCCTGGGCTCTGAGGCTGACCAAGGTGACCCCTATCTGCTGCTCTGTGTGTCCCAGTGTGGTCCCTCAGCCTGGCACGGCGTCCGCAGTCGGTGCTCACTGGTTGCCGACCTGACGGTTCCACTTCTGTCGGGGCGAGCTGGCAGGTGCAGCCGTAAACGTGCCGCTCTGGCCCTGTCCCCACTCTGCCACCCGGGCTGGCTTCAGGGCTCGGCTGTTAATTATGGACGGCAGAGGTGATGGGAGTGCTTGTTCTGTCAGCAGCAGCCCGCTCCGACTCATTGGCTAACTGCTGGCTGATACCCCAGTTAATTACGGGGCTCTCGAACCTTCCTGCTCCAGCCGCGCAGTGCGGAGGAGGGCCGGGCGCCAGCCTCCCTAATTGGCCGTGCGCCGTCAGGGCATCGATCGCGCGGTAAGGAGCCCCCACGCTCTGGGGACCAGGCCGCAAAGTGTTGGTGGCCTCCCTCCTAGGCCCTGCCCTGCTGCACTGCCTGGCTCCTGGGCTCCAGTGAGGCTCGCTCAGGATGTGGGGCATCGTGCCCAGCCCAGGCAGCCTCATCAGCCCCTCATGGGGGCGGGGGTCCCTCTGGTGCGTGAAGCTGGGGTCCTGTGGGAGGCCCTGAGCCCATCCACCTTCGGCTACCCATTTTCTGACCCTTGCAGCTCTAGGGCATGGATGCCCACACCCCTTGCCCCTGATCCCAGCACCGTGGCAGGACCACCAGGTGCCGCTTCTGCCCAAGGGTGTGGTGTGGGGCCAGCCACGAGTGGGATGGAGGCGACAACACAGTGGGACACAGGTTGAGCAGTTCGGGCCCAGGCCTTGTCAGGGCTGCTCCTGGGTGTGGTCGTTCCTGGGTCCTGGCAGAGCCCCTCGGGTGAGCCAGGTGGGATGGGGACCCGAGGCTTGGCTGGTTGTTTTTTTTTTAAGAAAGGTCTTTTCCTTGTTGTGCTCCAAAAGTCCCTACAGAGATCTGTGCATCAGACCGCTGGCTGCGCAGGGCTGGCCTAAGGCTGCTCCCCTGGGCACTCCACCCCAGCGCTCTGCCCCCAGCGCTGCTCGGGTCCGGATTTCAACCAGTCCAGGGTTCGAGTCTTTCTGCCAAGGTCTGTAGCACAGCGTGTTTGTCGCTGGCTCTTGGTGTGACTGCGCCCTGGCCCCTTCTTGCCGCTGACAGCCACAGCCGTGGGGCCTTCTGGGTGTGGCCAGGATGACCTCCAACCCTCATCTTGTTCCTGATGTGTGTGAACCTGGGCCGCAAGTGGACACCTGGCTCAGGAAGGGCGGCACCAAGGGGGTGCATTCAGGGGCTGGCAGCCCCTCGCTTGGCCCCTGGGGTTGACTGCCCAGCCCTGCGGCTGCTTTCTCTCCGCCCAGGACGTGGTTCTCCCCTCCTAGGTTCTCGGCCCATGGGGCCTTGAGGCTTCGGGATTCCTAGGGTATGGGGGCACGCTGGGCTGTAGGCAGTCCCTGGTAGGCTGCCCTGCACAGCTGAGCAAATAGCACACAGCACACAGCTTAGGGAGCACCGTAAAGAGGCCGGGGTGCCAGTACGCAGCCCCCTACTCCAGGGATACCTTTTGTCCACCTGGGATATCCTGGGCCTCTGCTTCCTGGTCACAGTTTGAAGTCACCCCCTACTCTGGCCTGTTGTTAAGAGGAACCCAGCTGCATGCTGATGCTTTCTGGGACAGAAAGAAGGTTCTGGAAATGGAGATAGTGTTTGTTCAACAGAGCCAGTTTCCGGCTCACGTGCTTGCCTATGGTGGGGTCACTTCCCAGGTCCCATGCTTGGGAGCGGGCCTGGCGGTCGTGAGAGCCTCCCCAGCTCTTCCCTGGGTGGGCGCACTTTGGCCTTCTGCCTGATGTCCCACCAGTGGCACCAGGACACAAAGGTCCTTCCCATGGGCCTCAGGACCCGGCTCCTCTTGGGCCCACCACAGTGGTGCTGCGGGACGGGAGCTCCTAGGCGCTCGGTGCTCCCTGAGGCTTCCTCTCCTCCAGCTAGGACAGTGGTGGAGTGTCTCGTGCTTGGTGCCTTAGTGGCTGGGCCTGGGATCTGAGGGACAGGGAGGCCAGCACCACCTCCAGCCACACCGGCAGCTCGGGCCTGGAGGGTGCGTCTCGGCCTCCCGCCTGCCTGCAGGTGCGGCAGCTGACGTCAGAGTCTGGCCCAGCACGGCTGCTTCGGGCCATGGCACTGGAGGCCAGAGCTGGGCTGAGCCCACAGCTCACACCACGCCTGCTATGTTCTCTCCTCAGGGTCCTCGCTAAGCAGCGAGTCGTCCCCTGTGTCCTCTCCGGCCACCAACCACAGCTCCCCCGCCAGCACTCCCAAGCGCGTGCCCATGGGGCCTATCATCGTGCCCCCTGGGGGCCACAGTGTCCCCAGCACGCCACCCGTGGTGACCATCGCCCCCACCAAAACTGTCAATGGCGTCTGGAGGAGTGAGAGCCGCCAGGTGAGTGGCCTGAGGTGGGGTCAGGACAGGGCTGGTGGCGTCCTGCAGGGCAGGGCACTTTCTTAGGGCTTGGTGGCACTGCAGAGAGGGCTTGGGTGCAGTGCCCCCAGGCCCAGTGGCTTAGGGTTCAAAATCACCCAGCAGTGGCGGAAGGGTACCCGGGATGCCCGTGGGCAGGCTGGCCTCTGTGAGCTTTCCTGGGCTTGCAGACACAGCTCCCTCATGACCTCCCTTGGTGGCCCCACAGGTCTGTGTCCTGATCTCTTCCCTCAAGGACCCTGGGTAGACTGGGTCTGGCCCCCTAGTGCTGTGTTCCCTTGGTCACCTTCTGAGTGCTGGCAGGTGGGGTCACGGGGTGCATTGCACCTGGGACGATGCTAACCCTCCCCCACCACTACCTCGCCCTGCTGCTGCTGCTGCCCAGTGAGAGTGGACCGAGCATGGGCCAGCGGCTCCTGGGCTCGGGAGCGGCCCTTCCCACCCCTGGCCTGGGCTCCCCACGTGTGCGCAGCTGCTGTGCTGGTCACAGCCCTTCATGCCCGTGGGGACCACCCCGCTCCCCGCCGTGCTCGTTAGTCACCACTGTCAGCCCTGCTTCCTCCTCCGGGAGCTTCTGCCGAGTCCCCACAGGGGCCACACAGCTCCAGATGCTAACTAACCCAGCCAGGCAGCGCGGGAGCGGCGGGCGGGGTGGGCATCCGTGGCAGACAGCAGCTCACAGCCTGCCCCACTGTTGCACACGCACACGTCTGAGGCGACAGGACAGCAGGGTCCTGACTTCTCTGCCACCTTCTGCTGGGCCAAGATGACCTGCTGGCCCAGCACTGTGGCCTTGCCCTGCCCGCCCTGTGTGGAGAGGGGACAGGACGGGCCAGTCCTGGCCTGAGGGCACTGTTCCCAGGCTCCTCTTACCCTGAGGGTCGGCCCCGACCTGGGGACCCTGCATCACCTGGCATAGCTGTCGCCTGAGCCGCCTACGGGTCACATCCTGCCCCTGCCTTGGCTGGACACCATGTGCTGTTGCCCTGTCACTGTCCTCTGAGGGTCCTTACTGCCACGGAGTGACCCTGGGGGAAGGGGCTGCCAGGGCTGGCCATGCGTGGGATAATGAGTTCCTGCCTGGGGCGGGCGGTGGGGACGGCAACTGTGGGCCTGGGCAGCTCGGTGAGGGTGAGGAGAGGCCCCCGGAGAGTTAATCCCTGCGGGGAGCCGCTGGGCTGAGTCACCGGCCTCCGGGGGCTGCAGATGCGGGGGCCAGGGCCTCGGGGACTGGTGGCTCCCGGCGGCGGAGGGGAGAGATGAAATGAAAAATGGTCTGTTTGGAAGCTAAGCGGGCATGTCCCGCCTGTCTGACTGCAGAGACCGCTCTAATCACCGGAGGATGACGGATTCCCCCGCCACCCCTCCTCCTCCCCTTTCATGGCCGCAGCTGCTCCTGCAGCCGCTGTGCAGAAATAACAAGCTGCCCGCAGATGCGCCCCAACGCGCCTGTCTGCCAGGGCGGCTGTGAGACCCGGCCGCCCCCGCCGGGGGTGCCTGGGGGCCGTGGCCTCCTGTGCCCGGCCCTGTGGGGTGCTCCCGGGCCCCACGCCCTCCCGCCCCCCCTGCTGACCTAGTTCCCAGGTGCCCAGCAAAGCCTGGCCGGGCTCCAGCCGGATGGAGGCGGGCGTGTGGGTCGGGCCTGCAGAGCCCACTGCCCTGGCCACTCCCCACCCTCCATCGTCCCGATTGTCCTCAGCCAGGCCAGGAAGGTGCCATCTGGCCCAGCTGCCGTCAAGCAGGCCTTTGTCCCCGGCGGGGGAGAGAAGGGCTGATAGGACAGCTTGGGTCGAGGCCCTGTTAGAGAGCAGGTTCCTCCCCGTGGCAGGGCGGCCTGGAGCCAGCCCTGTTGTTGTGGTGTGTTTGTGGCACACGGCCCCAGACAGGTGTCCAGCCTGTGTGCCGGGAGCTGTGTCCTTCAGGACCCTGCTGGGTGCTGCGCTGGCTCCTGCCCAGCTCAGCCTGGGTGGGCGCAGAGATTCCTTGCTCAGTGCCAGGGCTCAATGCCAGACAGGCCAGGGGCCCCTGTGTGCAAGACCCCCGTTTACCCTCATGCCTGGCCCTACTGCACTGGGAGCAGGCTGCCCCTGACATGTTGACAGATGGGAAAACTGAGGCACAGGGCAGTCATGGTTCTGCCTGGGGACTCTGGTACTGGACAGGATCCTGTGTCCTGAGGCCAAGCCAGTACCTGCCCCGCTGTCATCCCTGGCAGCTGGAAAACCCTGAGGCCAGGCCTTGGTGGGCACGTGTGCGTCCCTCCCGGGAGACGCCATGTGGTCGCCCCCCACCAGGGAAGCATAGGTCGGAGGTCACGAGCCCTCGAGACCCCGCTGTGTGCGAGGGAAGGGAGCAGATGCTGCTGCTCATTAAGGTCCCCGTCAGCAGCCTGTCTCCTTCAATTAGCTGCTGCTGGCTGCCTCCCAGCGCAGGGGCGGAGGGGACGCATGGCGGGCTCTGCGCCTCTGTGGCCCTGCCTGTGGCTGCGGGCAGCCAGTGTCCACCCCATAGTGAGTGAATTCCTGCTGGCTCTACAGGGACACAATTGGGCGCCCCGGCATTTGTGTTTCGTGGCCCAGGGTGGCAGAACCGACCGCCCTGGCCATGGTGCCAGCTCCCTGCCCAGGTATCTGGGCCCTGTCCCCACTGTGGCTGTTGGAAGAGGCAGGGTGTCCCGCACATGCGCCTCAGTGGCCCAGCGGCCCCAGGGGCTCCTGGTCCCCCCAAGGCCTCAGTGCAGACCTGCCTGTTGGGGGCTGTGGCTCCCCTTCCTGCTCCCTTCAGCCTGTTCATTGCTTTCGGAACAGAACCTCCTAGAAAGGCCATCCCTACAGCTGGCCTCTGGGCCTCAGGAGCCCTGGCTCATCTGGTGGCCGCCGGTGGCTGTGTGGCTGTGGCCTGAGCCTGTGCTTGTCCCCCAGGATGCCAGCTCTCGGGGCAGTGGTGGCGGCGGTCGGGAGCGCCTCATCATGGACCCTCCGCTCGCCCAGGAGAAGGCAGGGGCCCCAGCTGTCCCCTCCCACCTGCTCAGCACCCCATACCCCTTCGGCCTGTCCCCCAGCTCAGTCATGCAGGATTCCCGCTTCCCACCACTCAAGTAAGTGCCCCGAGGACGCTGGGAAGGCGCTGCCTGGGGCCCTGTCTGTGCCTGCTGTGGGCTTCGCACTGAGGCTGTCACTTGCTCTGGCCCCACCTATACCTGTCCTTGGATTCCGGGCCCCCAGCCCCCTGGGCCGTGGGGAGCAGCTGTACCCACTGGTGAGGACGCAGCTGCCCTGGCCTGTGGTCCCAGGCCTCCCAGCAGGGCGGCGTCTCGTTAAGAGAGGCAGGACCCGTACCGGAGGGAGGCAGCAGGGCGGCTTCCCGATAGTTCTAGGGGGTGGGCGGGGGTGACCCGCTTCCTGGCTGGACAGGCTCTCTGCTCACTGGTCCCCCTCCCCGCTGTCATCCTGACCTGCAGCCTCCAGCGGCCTGTGCACCACGTGGTGCCCCCCAGCACGGTGACCGAGGACTACCTGAGAAGCTTCCGGCCCTACCACACGGCCGAGGACCTGCGCATGCCCTCCTTGCCCCCGCTCGGCCTGGACCCGGCCACTGCTGCGGCCTACTACCACCCCAGCTACCTGGCCCCGCACCCCTTCCCGCACCCGGCCTTCAGGTGAGTGCCCCTGCGCCACTGCAGGCACAGGATGGGCCCTGCCGGGGTGCTGCGTCCCATTCAGGGCTTCAGCTCAGGGTCCCTTCAGTGGGGTTCTGGTGCTGTCATGAGTCACGTGGCGGCCTCACTAGGTGGGAAGCCCCCGGGTCCCGCCCGAGGGGCCTGGTGCCACTGAAGGGTGGCAGGGCTTCGGCCTGGCTGACCGGAAGCTGGCGGTGGGCGGGGCCTCACAGTCCCGTGGAGGGGTCAGGCAGGTGGGCTGGGGTGTCCCCTCCGTGGCTGGGGTGTCGGGGAGGACCAGGACTCTCGGGCCAGGCGACCTTACACTTTCTGTGTGTGGCTTTGGCGCCCACCAGCCCCCTGCTCTCATACAGGATGGAGGACTCCTACTGCCTGTCCGCCCTGCGGTCTCCCTTCTACCCCATCCCTGCCCCCGGCTCCCTGCCTCCGCTGCACCCCTCAGCTATGCACCTCCACCTCTCCGGCGTCCGCTACCCGCCCGAGCTGTCCCACTCGTCGCTGGCCGCGCTGCACTCGGAGCGGATGTCGGGGCTCGGCGCGGAGAGGTGAGCACGTCCTGGGCCGGCCGGACCCTCCTGCCCTCCGCGCCCTCCCCCACCCCGGCCTGGGAAGCCGCGGGGGGAAGTGCTGGGTGGACCCTGCTCAGGGGCTCTGGGGCTAGTGCCCCCTCGGCTGAAGGGGGACAGTGGGTGTGGGTACCCTAGGATCTTGGGGCGGACCCGTTGGGGCGGCGGAGAGGAGCCTGGCCGCTGGGGCCCAGTGCCACCTCCTCCCTCCCCGTCCCCCGAAGGCTGCAGATGGACGAGGAGCTGCGGCGGGAGCGGGAGCGCGAGGCCGACCGGGAGCGCGAGAAGGAGCGTGAACGGGAGCGGGAGCGCGAGCGGGAGAAGGAGCTGGAGCGGGAGCGCGAGAAGGAGCGCGAGCTGGAGCGCCAGCGGGAGCAGCGTGCGCGGGAGAAGGAGCTGCTGGCCGCCAAGGCGCTGGAGCCCGCCTTCCTGCCCGTGGCCGAGCTGCACGGGCTGCGCGGCCACCCGGCCGAGGAGCGTGGCAAGCCCTCGGAGCAGCTGACGCCGACCCGAGCAGGTAGCTGGCCTTGAGCCCACGCGGAGCCGGGGCAGGTGCGGCCTGTGGCCACCCTCCTGGCCAGCTCCTGGGTGCCCTTTGGAGCGGGTTCTCGCTGGGCCCTTCTGCACCCCGGGTGGGGGTGCCCGCAGCCTTGCTTCCGGCCGTGACGGCCCTGCCCCGAGGGACATGGGGAGGAGGCCGGGGGGGGCCCCCCAGGCCGTCGGTGACCTTGTCTCTCCCCACAGAGAAGCTGAAGGACGCGGGCCTGCAGGCGCCCAAGCCCGTGCAGCACCCCCTGCACCCGGTGCCCGCGCCGCACCACTCGGTGCCCAGCCTGGTCTCCAGCCACGGCGTCTTCTCCCTGCCGCCCAGCAGCGCGGCCGCCGGCCTCCTGCTGCAGCGCAACCACGAGGAGGAGAAGTGGCTGGCGCGGCAGCGGCGGCTGCGGCAGGAGAAGGAGGACCGGCAGTCCCAGGTGTCGGAGTTCCGGCAGCAGGTGCTGGAGCAGCACCTGGACATGGGCCGGCCCGCGGCGCCCGCCGAGGAGCACAGGCCGGACGGCGGCAGGTGGGCCCGCGTGCGCGTGCAGCAGGGGCAGTGCCGGGACAGCTCAGTGACCGCGGGCCCCTGCTCGCCCCACTTTTTAGCCTGTTTTTGCTTTGTTGATTGAGAGACCCTTTTCGATTTTTAACAACTTACACTGCTTTTTAAATAAACAGGCTGGGCACCATAGTGCACACCTGTAGCGTAGCGAGACTCCATCAAGGGAACGGTGCCAGCAGTGCCAACTGCTGGCCACAAAGGTGTGGGGCTGGCCCACGTGCACCCGCCAGCTCTGGAGTAGGCCAGCTCCGGGGGGCCTGTGCCTGGCCCTGGCCCCGCACACTGCCCTGTGCCCTCTGTGTTCCCATCTGCCTCGGTGGCCCTGCCTACTCCCACCACCTGGTGGACATGGCCCCTATTGAGGGCCTCTGCTTCCTGCTTCCTCAGTGTGGAGTGACGGGGAGAGTTCCAGGGTCCCCACAGTCCTCAGGGTTGGGGCGCTGTCCACTTTGGGAAGGCCCAGGGTCCCAGATGCACGCCCTGCCTCCGTTCCCCACGCCGTGAGGGAACTAGCTGGGTCCATCAGCTGTGTCGGAGAGGGCCCTGGCCCACCAGCTGCCTATCACAGCTAGAGTGGCATCCTGTGTGTCACACCGTCTCCTGCCTCACAAGGGCTTGGCTTCACTGGTCCCTGAGCTGCCCCCTGCCCCACTGACCCTCACCACTGCCCACCTAGTGTCTCCTGGGAAAATCTGCCCTACCCTGTAGGTGCTTCCCACTCGGGCTGCCCAGAGCACCACGCAGGGGTCAGGCCTGGCCAGCACCTGGCTGCACACGCTGTGTGCCCCGGGAGCGTGGCGCTCCCTGGGCCTTGTGTTTTCGGCTGGAAACCTGCGAGGTATTTGAAGTGTGCCGACTGTCCCGGTCCCGTCATGCTCTGGCTGCTTGTGCGGCTGGGCTCCCAGCTCTCAGTCTGCAGCCACTCGAAGCTGCCTTTGGGGCCGCGGGCATGTTCCGACCCCTGGCCTGCCTTGCCACAGAGCTGCCTGGCTCACCAGGCAGCGTGGTTCCGAAATCCTATTCTGCTGCCTCAGAAAAAGAAAAACGCTCTGGAGAAAGGACCCGAGACAGGCTTTGGGGAGTCGCCTGGTGTTTAAGTGCGCTGAGGAAGTCCTGCATGGCAGATCGGGCAGCACAGCTGCTCGGGGGAGCCCATGGGTGTTAGATGCCCAGCCCCCAAGGGCCCTCGCGTGCTCCCCTTGTTCTGGCTCACTGCAGTTCGGACAGGGCCATGGAGGGCCATGGGGTGCAGGCCCCGTCCCGTGTACAGGGCTGTAGGCCGGGCACACGCGGAATCCCAGCCGCAGTGCATGGCGCTCCCGTTACTGTCCCTTGGAGGACGGGCTGGTGACAGGGCCACACTTTCAGCAAGGGCCACAGGCCGGCGCCTGTCCTCCCAGAGCTGAGCAAGCAGGCGGGGTAGCGGTCCCCTCCTGCTGCCCCAGCCTGGGTGCTGGCCGGTCGCAGCCTGTGTGTGACTGGGGGGCCGTTTGCTCTCTCCCCAGGCAAGGACCGACCCGGCTGGAGCAGGGCAGCCGGGAGGCCCCGCAGCACTTTGGCGGGCCACCTCCGCTCATCTCCCCCAAGCCCCAGCACCACACGGTGCCCACAGCCCTCTGGAACCCGGTGTCTCTGATGGACAGTGCCCTGGAGACGCGGCGGCCCGAGAGCCACCCCCTGCACGGCCACACAGCCACGTTCGAGCCCAGCCGCCAAGCTGCCGTCCCGCTGGTGAAGGTGGAGCGCATCTACTGCCCCGAGAAAGCCGAGGAGCCCCGAAAGCGCGAGGCCGCCCCGCTGGACAAGTACCAGCCGCCGGCGCGGGAGGCGGGCGGCCTGGAGCCCGCAGTCTTTCCGCACGGGCCTGGACCCTTCCTGGCTGAGCTTGAAAAGTCCACGCAGAGCCTCCTGGGCCAGCAGCGGGCCTCCCTGCCCCAAGCAGCCTCCTTTGGGGAGCTCAGTGTGCCCGTGAAGCCCGGTTCACCCTACCGGCACCCGGCGCCCCGCGGCCCTGACCCCGCCTACATCTACGACGAGGTCCTGCAGCAGCGCCGGAGGCTGGTCAGCAAGCTGGACCTGGAGGAGCGCAGGAGGCGTGAGGCCCAGGAGAAAGGTCCGGTCCCCCGAGTGGCCCTGACCTAGGTGGGAGGGGTCATGGCGGGCCTGGGGACCCTGGCACGGGTTGTGACGGGCTCCACAGCAACAGGGAGACAGACCAGGGGCTGGCAGGGCACCTCGCCCCAGGAAGCCACTTGGGTCCTGTCTGCAGACGCTGCCACAGACACGAGGGATGAACGGTGGCCTTTACTAACACTGTGGCATGAATAAGGGCGCGGCTGGCAGGCCTGGCCCTGTGTCAGGTGCAGGCAGGTGGCCAGGGAGTGAAGGGCAGGGCGGGCGCCGTTGGGAGCAGGGCCGGGCGCGAGGCTGTCCCTGACACCCGCCTGCACCGGGAGGCTGGGGCACACCTCGGCTCAGGCCAGTCCCGTGTCTCCCATGGGAGCCTGGCCCTGTCTGCCGGGGATGTGGCTCCTGGCTGGAGCAGGGGTGCCACTCTAGGCTGGATGGGGGCCCAGCAGGGTTTTCTGCCGTGCCTACCTCACACGGGCGAGGGGCTCTGCCGCGGGTCTCTGCCCGTCCCCTCCTGGCAGCACAGGTCAGGCGTGGCGCGGGGCTGCTATGGTAGCGGGTGGTCCAGGGGAGCCAGGCGTTGCCACGCTGGGACTCCGTGTTGGGTCCTGCCAAGTGGAAGGGACCCGCCCACCCGCTGACCGCAGCTGCCTCTGCCCTCAGGCTACTACTACGACCTGGACGACTCCTACGACGAGAGCGACGAGGAGGAGGTCCGGGCCCACCTGCGCTGTGTGGCCGAGCAGCCGCCGCTCAAGCTGGACACGTCCTCCGAGGTATGGGCCTCCCCGCTCCGCGGAGTGCTCCGGGCTGGGCTGTCGGTCCCCAAGTCAGGCCCACCCGTGCAGTCTGTCCCCTGGGGTGCCGGGTCCGCCGCTGCACGGACCGCAGACCCCGGCAGGCGACCCCAGGACAGTGGAGGCGTGCCACTGCCGGTGGTTTCAAACTCATTTGTTCTCTTTCCAATCCAGAAGCTAGAGTTTTTGCAACTTTTTGGCTTGACCACCCAACAGCAGAAGGAGGAGCTGGTGGCCCAGAAGCGGAGGAAACGGCGGCGGATGCTGAAGGAGCGGAGCCCGTCCCCGCCGGCGGTGCAGAGCAAGAGGCAGGCGCCGTCGCCCCGCCTGGCGCTGTCCACCCGCTACAGCCCCGACGACATGAACAACAGCCCCAACTTCGAGGAGAAGAGAAGGTTCCTGACCATCTTCAACCTGACCCACATCAGTGCGGAGAAGAGGAAAGGTACGGCCCGCCCGCGCTCCAGCAGTCCGTTTGGCCCCATTGTGGGTGACCACGGTGCTGCACACTCAGCGTGTCCCGAGTGGACGGCTGCCCGCCACTTGTCCGGCTGGCACCTGAGCTGGTGTGTAGGGGCAGCCCCGCCGTGCAGGCTGTGCCTCTGGGGGGTCCTCGCCACGCCTTGCTGGGCTGTGGCCTGGGAGGAGCCCAGCACAGGTGGCTGGTCGTGGTGAGGGTGCGTGGCTCCGGGAGCAGAGGTCCCCAGCGCCACCCACAGCAGGAGGGCGCAGCTGGCCCCTTCCGGGCTACCATGCCTCGAGACGCTGGTGCCCGCTGTGGGTTTTAGGGCCCCTGTGGCCACTTGTGCCCTCTCTGGAAGAAAAAGAAGGCAGAGAGAGCTGTTTGTGTGCGCGCAGTGGCTCCCCAGTGAGTCCCCGCCAGCCCTGGGAGGGTCGCGGCAGGTTTTTGCCAGCACAAGTCCCTGGGGATGTGCCTAGGGTTTTTGGATTTTGTAGGGAATTTTTAGTTTTTCTTCTTGGTTTTTTATTGATTTATTTATTTTTGTATAATCCATCTTGTCGCCTGACTGGATTTCTAGAGCAAGCCTTCGGCACTGTGGCCGCTTCGGTTTCAGAGCTGGCACAAAGCGTACCGAAAGGGGGCCCGCAGCGTGCACCGCCCGGGCACCGGGTCGGGCTCCGGGAGCAGGGCTGCGTGGTGGCACCATGCTCGGACCTGCCCTTGTCCTTTACACGGGAACACTTCCTCGGAAGTCACCAGGAACAGCAGGGCATCACTGCCCCCGTGCCATGCGCCGGCTGCCCGGAACACTGCAGCAGCGGCCCGCCCAGTGCCAGGCTGGCACCCGCGTCCTGGCAGGCAGGACTCTCGCCCTGCTCAGCAGCTGAGCCCTGCACCTTAACCCGGCTGCTTTTCTCACAGACAACGAGAGACTTGTTGAAATGCTCCGCGCCACAAAGCAGCGAACACTGTCCGCAGCGCTGCCCGACGCCTCGGCAAACGCTCCGGGGGACAGTCCCGCCGTCGCCCTCAGCGGTAAGGGAAGGCCGCCCTCCCGCCACTGCCCGGGGTCAGAGGTGGTGCTCCAGGTTGTCTTCGTGGTGGACCTGACCGGCTGGAGGCGACCTTCTCCACCCCCGCAGTCCCACGGGCGCCTGGGACGCGACTCGGCAGCACTCGGCGAGGCACGCTGCCCAGTGGTCTGTGCACCGCCCCCAGAGCCTCGTGCCCAAGAAAGGGGCCCGAGCCCCGAAGCACCATCTGCTGAGCTGTCTTGCATTCCCGGCCGGCCCGGCCCCTGCTGTCGCCTTGTCTCCCGTCCGGTCGCATCTGCCTGCTGAGCCAGTGGGGACTCCTTCCGGGTCACCCTTAGCGTGCTCCCTGGTGCTTTCTCAGCTGGCTGGTCTAAACGCCACCTTCCCGCTGGGTGACCGGAGCAGCTTGCCTGTCTGCTGCCTCAGGCCCTCGGGGCACCGTTCCGGGATGGACTTGCTGCTACAAGTGCCGCCTGTTCGGCCCCAGCCACGTGCACAGGGGCACCCCGGGTCTTGGTCCCCTGCACTAGGTCCTTTAGCTCACAGGTCTGGCCAGGCATGGTGGCTCACGCCTCTCGTTCTAGCACTCTCAGGAGGCTGAGGCAGGAGGGTCACTGTGAGTTTGAGGACAGCTTGGGCTACATAGCGGAGTCAAGGCCAGCCCTAACTACAAGGCGTGACCCTGTCTCCAAAGCTAAAGCAAAAACCTAAAAATTGTGATTTGCAGCCCTTAATGTCTCCCCACTTTCTGTCTCTCCAAGATGCAGCCACGCAGCCCGCCTCTCTGGAGACAGAAAAGCCTATTGGTATTGCCGCCTCGTTGTCTGATGTCCCCAAAGCCATGGAGACTGGGAGACTGGACCCGCTCAGGCCCCGGGAGCTATCGAGAGCCCAGGAGCCGGCTCCTAGCAGCGGTGAGAAGGCCAGGCTGAGCGAGGCCCCCGGGAGCAAGAAGAGCCTGAGCATGCTCCACTCCATCCGGGGCTCCGCGCCCAAGGACACCCCTGTGCCATTGTCCCACAGCATCAACGGGAAGAGCAAGCCGTGGGAGCCCTTCGTGGCAGAAGAGTTTGCACATCAGTTCCACGAGTCAGTGCTGCAGTCCACGCAGAAAGCCCTGCAGAAACACAAAGGTAACGCGGCTGCCCGTCTGCCCTGTGCCGGGTCCCTAGCAGCTGCCGAGCACGGCCGCGCCGGGGCTTGGGGTGGCGCCTTGCACTGCGGTGCCCAGCGGCAGCCGGGGAGCTTGCGGACAGTGCCCGGAGGGAACCCAGCGCCCACAGCTGGCCTGCACCCTGAGCTCCTGATATGTCCAACACGGCTAGTCAGTGGACTATTGGCCAGCAGTCCTGTGCGCCCTGCAGCACAGTGACCTTACCAGCTCCCCTCATCACCCCACACTCACTGGGGACTACCCCCAGATGCCCTCCATGGGGTCCTCGAGCACCAACCACAGAGTAGCTACCTGACCCCACGGGCAAGTCTCCACATGCATTCTGGGTGGGGGTCACTATGGTGACTCTGGAAGGGATCAGAACAGAAACTCAGTAAAGACTGAGAACCCAGCACACTGGAGGCTGAGGCAGGAGGATCGTTGCAATTTCGAGGCCAGCCTGGGCTAGAGTGTACTCAAGGCCAGCACGGACTGCATAGCAAGACCCTGTCTCAGAAAGACAAACAACAAATACCCACCGAGTGCACGGTGCAGTTAACTCTGGTATCAGAAGAACACTTAGTCAGTCCGCTGACACCGAAGCCCTTAAAGCCCGAGCAGTGGTCAAAGCGTTGGTCTCTGCTGTGCAGTGCCAGAGGACTGAACCCCCAGGGCCTTGGTACTGAGCCGCAGCCCTAGTTCATTCTTACTTTTGGAGACAGGCTGCCAAGGCTGGGCTTACGACTAAGTTGCTCGGGCTCAGTTCGGACTTGTGGTCCTCCTGGCTCAGCCTCCAGGCTGCCAGATCACACTCAGGCTAGAGAGCGTTTGCAGACGTGCAGCTCGGATCTGTGCCCAGGTCTTGAGTTAGCTCTGTCAACAGAGATGAAGCAGTACATGCGCCCAGGAAGGCAGCTTCCCCCAGGACGGAGGCAGGAGCCGGGGCAGACTGGCACCACGTCACAGCTGGGCTGTGGAGGGCTCGGGGGCTGGAATGCCCTGGCCCTTCTTCCTGCAGGGTGGCAGGGTGGGTGCGTGGGCCACAGGCTCCTGCTGCCCATGCCCAGGCCACAAAGAAATGCACACCCGCTGGTGGACCCGGCCGGGCTCACTTCTGCGCTCTGGCTGAGCAGAACTCGGGTCCCTGGTACCGTCTTGTGCCCCGAGGCATGAGGCAGAGCCCTCGTCTGTGGCCTGGCGCTGGTGGATGAGAGGACCTTGCACCCAAGGCAGGGCACAGCCCCCCTGGAGAGCGAGCCTCGCCCTGTGAACATCCTTTTCTCCTCCCCAGGGAGCGTAGCTATGCTGTCTGCAGAGCAGAACCACAAGGTCGACGCCTCTGTCCACTACAACATTCCTGAGCTGCAGTCGTCCAGCCGCGTCCCCCTACCCCAGCACAATGGGCAACAGGAGCCCCTCGCTGGGAGGAAGGGTCCCCTCACACAGGAGGTGGACCAGGACTCAGAAGAGGATGATGAGGAGGAGGAGGAGGACAGCGGCGAAGAGGAAGACGAGGTCCCCAGGCGCAAGTGGCAAGGGATTGAGGCGATTTTTGAAGCTTATCAGGAACACGTAGAAGGTACGCGGCAGGGCGGGGATGAGTGGGGGGGGGGCTGTCGCCCACCCAGGCTGTGGGGCGTCCACCCTAGAGCTGCGGCTTCCCAGAGCACCGCTGGACACTCGCCCTGCCAGGCAGTGTCCTTGGGCTCTGTAGGTGCCCCTGCCCAAGCCCCACGCAGGTCTCACTGGGGCAGGGCTGGATGGGGCTTCACCTGCTGGGGCGCAGCCTGCCCCAGCCCACACACCCACCCCGAGACGGTGAAGTGCAGTAAGCAGCACCCACCGGTGGCCTCTGTCCCTAGGATGGCCCAAGCTTGGATCTTGCGCCCTGCGCTGCTTGTGAAATACTCCGTGCCCTGGTCTGTGCAGGCCGGGCGCAGGCTTGCCCCTCAAGGCTGCTCCATGGGTGCAGGTCCCCCTCAGCTAGCTCCACACTGCAGCTCCCTTGTGGGTGGGCCGCTGCCGCCTCTGGGTGGCGAGCTCTGCTCCACACTCAGAGCCACGCACCGGAGCGTCACTGCAATGGCTCTGCCTCGGTTTCTCGGGGTATCTGCGGAGTCCTTTGGGGAGCGGAGGGGGCACAGCCCCTAGCCCTGCGGGCACTGCTGTGACATCCGGCTGCCACCACCGCCTCCTCCGCATTCTGTCACATACTGCTGTGCTGTAGGGTGGTGGCCTGCCTCGTGGCTGCTCGGGTGCTTGTCCCGTTGCTCGGTATTTGTTCCAAGAACGCCCTTGGAAGCATTGGAAGTGACTGTTCCCTTGGGCTGTGTCTGTGCGTGCTCAGCAGTGGCAGCCGCAGGTGGTGAGGTTAGAGGGGTGGATGCCGCCTCCCCGGGCCTGTGGGGCCCGGTTTGAGGTTAAAAGGGGTATTGTTCCGTATTTTCCTGAGTGGCAGGTTCCCCTTCTCTTACTGTGTGCCACACCGAGGACTCGTGCATGCGGAGGGTGGCAGACCAGCTCCAGCACCCAGGGGGTGCAGCCCCCGCGGCCTGGCCACTCTCCCCAGGGACTGGCCTAGCGGTCCTCCTGGGATCGGACTCGGCTGTCCTCGGCGCCGGCCTCCGGCCACAGAGGGTAGAAGCATCTTGCTGTCTTCAGCTCTGAGAGAGCCCTGTCAGAGCCAGCCATGCCTGTGCTCCCTGGAGGCGGAGGCGGGGAGTCCCGAGTTCAAGGCCAGCTGAGCGTGGGGCTCGGTGCCAGAGCGCTTGGCAGGAGTGTGGCGCCCAGGCCATCACGGCACTGGAGGGAGGCCCTTGGTTGCTTTTTGGAGCGCACGGCATGGCGCCGCGTGGCGACGTTGCCTTTGACCACATTCGGGAAACGCGGTCTTTGCGTGCTTTTCTGTTGGTGCCGGGGACTGAACTCACAGCCCCGCGCGCACCGGGAGGCCCTCACTTGGAACTGGCACTCATCCTTAGAGGCCTGAGGTAGCAGTCTCAGATGGCCAGACTACAACTTTCAAAGGTTTTTTTTCTGCTGGAAACTTGGTGGTCCACTGTGTGAGCGAGGTGCGGGGGGCTTGGCGCTGCGAGGTGTTAGGAATTTTATTTGCCAGGCTTGCCCGGGCTTCCGGTGTGTGCTCTCCCAGGCCTGTTGAGGCGGGCGGTCCTTTCCCCTGTGCCCACCCGTGCCGAGGGACCCGTTCCAGCTGGGTGGACTCCAGTACTGTGGAGCGGTGTGTTTCCATCGAGCGCGTTGGCAGCCCGGGTGCGGACGGCACCCTGTCCCGAGTAGGACGGTCGTGGCGTGGCACCGAGCCACCCGGGCTCCGGGGACGAGTTCGGGGCCAGCTTGAAGCCTGCAGGGAGACCTGCTCACGGCGCAGGCGCAGTCCATGCCATGTCCAGGGCCCGCCAGGCAGCCCCCTCGGTTCCCCGCAAGGTTAAAGTCCCGCTGCGACCTAAGCAGCCCTGGCAGCTGTGTGAGGCGGAGTTGATGTCAGCCCTGGTCTTTTTTAGCAACTTAAGCTGCAAGAAGCCTCACTTTGTGCTGCAAGGCTGTAAGTTTTCTGGCTTTGCCGTCGGTGTCGCTGTAACCACCATGGGATCGCAATCCCTCACTGTCCAGTGTGGCAGGGTTCAGCAGTGCTGGGCACTGACCAGCCCAACGGCTGCAGGCTGGAGGCAGTGGCGCAGGCTCGGAAACCAAAGCACAAAAGCAGTCAAAGGCCGGGCCCGGTGGCATCTGGCAGAGGCTGCGGGCACCGCGGGGCTGGCAGCCGCGGCCCGTCCAGGACGCGTCCTCAGCACCTCTGTTCTTCCAGAGCAAAACCTGGAGCGGCAGGTGCTGCAGACCCAGTGCCGGCGGCTGGAGGCCCAGCACTACAGCCTCAGCCTGACCGCGGAGCAGCTCTCGCACAGCATGGCGGTGAGCGGGACACTCGGGGACTAACCCGGAGGGACCCCGCTCCGGAGGGGTGGATGGAGGTGGACAGTCCCGGGGGAGAAGGTCCAGGTGTCGGCTGGTTGTGCTGCACACTTGCAGCCCAGCTCAGAGCTGGGAGTGCCGGCATCCATGACGCAGGGACCTGCTAAATGGCCCCGAGGCCCTGTGCATGTGGACCTGGTGGCCCCGTCCGGGCGGAAGGGGCATTTCCGGAGGCTGGGCGGAGCGGGCTCGCTGACGGGGTTTCCCTCTGCAGGAGCTGAGAAGCCAGAAGCAGAAGATTGTCTCAGAACGGGAGCGGCTCCAGGCAGAACTGGACCACTTACGGAAGTGCCTTGCCTTGCCCGCCATGCACTGGCCTAGGGGTTACTTTAAGGGATACCCGAGGTGACGGTTTCCCTATGCCAGGCCGAACCTATAGTATAGAAATATTATCTATTTTATTACCTTGAATATTTAATATTTTTCACCGGGAGGTTTGAAGCTTAAAAAATGAGAATGTGCCATGCATGAAGCAGAGGATTCCAGGCTCCAGAAAGAAGCAAACGAACTCGACTTCAGTGCAATCAGATCACCTTTGTCACTCCAAGCAGCCAGCGTAGGACGCCGTAGTTCCCTAGAGGTTAACGATCACCTTCCCAGGCCCTCTCCTGACCCACGGCCAGCACTGACGGCCTCGCCTCGCCTCGCCTGGTGCATGGGCTCGGATCTAAGCAGCAGGCCTGTCTGTCGTGCTGCCGAGCTCCTGTGCCCCAGACCAGGGTGGCTCCTGCTGCAGCGTCAGGGGTGGCCTTGTGTCCTCTGCCCAGGAGCGAGGCCGACCGAGCTGGAAAGGTTGGGTGCGTTGTAAGTAAAGGGCTTATTCTTTTCAGTTGCTTTTCTGCAAAATTATCTTAAAACACCCAGTCCTAGGAGCACAGAGTAACCCAAGGCTTTGCCTGGAGGTACCTGTCCACTGCCCCGCGGGGAGAATGTGCAGCTGTGTCCCCAGCACCCCACCTGATTGTCACTGCGGGGGGGGGGGGTGTTTTCATACACCGTAAATTTGGAGAAAAGTCAAAAGGTGCTTCAGCCTTGTACTGTGTATATATATTAAAAAACAAAGTTTTGTATGTTTTTATTACTTTTAATTGTTATAAAAAGCCTGCCATTTTTAATATGTGGTTTGGGGGATTTTCGTTTGTTTTTCCTGTTTGGGGGTTTGTTTTTCCTGGGAAAAGAAAAAAACCCTTGCTTTTAGTGTTTGTACTGCTGCTGGTCAGGACATTAAAATATTGAGGTTTTTAAAAATTAAGAAAAGTAAAAAGAGCTTACCACTGGCGCTTATGCGATCCCGTCGTTTTTAATTTGAGTTGCACCGGAACCTGTTGTAGTAGAAAGCCATGCGTCCCTTCTGTCCTCCCGTCCTCCCGCCCTCCCTCCCCACCCCTGGACAAGGTAGTGACCAAGAACCCGCTGCTGCGAAGCGAGGGGACAGTCTGTGGCGGGAACGAGACCTGTGACAGCCACGCGCACAGCCCTGGGGCTTGCTGAGAGCCAGCCCTGCGGCAGAGCGGAGATGCCCGAGCACAGGAGCAGGGCAGGGCCTTCAGCGGCTCTACTTGGATGCCAAGCTTTGTAAAAGCCTCCCGTAGGGTCCACGCCTTCGGAGCAGAGTGCCCCCTTGACCCTGATGACGGGCGTGGACGGGCCACAGCACCGGCCAGCGAGCCCAGCACCGGGGCTGCCTCCTGATCCCAGTTCCTCCTTCCCAGCAGGCAGCGTAGCACCTGGTAGCAGATGGGGCAGAAAGGCTTCGCGGGGCCCAGGGGCGGAGCGGGGCCGGGGCTGGAGCTGACCTTTGCCGGCTACTTGCTGCTGTGCTCCTCGCCCTGAGCTCCGCCCGCGCTGGGCAGTGGCTTGCTGGCAGCTGGCACCATGTCGCTTATCTGCCCCCACAGTTTGCTTTGTGCGCCTGCCAAGACTTCCCGTTATTAGCAAACTCACACAGAAAGTGCCCTGGTCGGTCAGCGCCTTCTGGCCCAAGGAGCAGGTAGACAGGACTGAGAGGCCGTGCTGGGCCTCAGCCCCTGCAGAGATGCCAAGAGGGTGCAGCTTCCGCAGGGCAGGCGAGGCGAGGGCTGCACGAGCTGTGGGGCCCCAGCAACGCTGCCTTTGCCCGCTAGGCTCTTCCCTAAGCCGTTCATGGGGCGAGGGCTTCGGAGCCGCACCCCCGCAGTCCCCAACATGGCGGGTGAGGTCGGATGCACTTGCTGGCCAGCCTTGGAAATGGGCACGGCCCCTCCCAGACCCAAGGGCGGCCCCTGGGCTGGACGGCCCGGCGGGGTGGCACACAGAACCAAGGGTGCGTGCTTGGCAAAGGTCCCCGCCCTGCAGGAACTGCTTGCCACAAGCTTCTCTATGTCCTGCCTCTTAATATCCCGTCTGCGGGGACGCCTGGGTGTCCGTTTGCCCCAGGAGTAACACAGATGACAATCAGAACGTAAGTACAGACGGGCGAGGCAGCACACAAACCGGGAAGCAGGTGGCAAGTGTCTCTAACAGACTCCACCCTGGGTCTCTGACAAGTTTTCCCATCCGACAGTCAGTTTTCAGAGAACAGATCTGTGTTCAGTTGATAAGCACGTGACCTTGAAGCTTTCTGTTTGGTTTTTCTTGCTCAGTGTGAGGCAGCTGAACAGTCCCACAGCAGTCTGCTCCACAGTGGATTCTGCAGCCTGTCAGTATTTACACGAATACCTCAGTCCTCCACTGTCTTCCCACACCACTGCAAGCGACAGCTGCCACCTGCCCTGACGGGGAATTCACTGAACTTGGGGGCACACAGCCAGATGCTAGATGGTGTGGTTCCATTTAATCCGATCCAAAATGTCCAAATAGAACAAAACCACCACGCTAGGGTTTCCAAACTTTCAATCAACACCCTAGCCTTAACACGGGCAAAACGTTCGATCAGGACTCGCATTTCCGGGTCGTTCCCTAAGGATGTTCAGTGTTAAAAGGAGCCTGCATCTTCAGCAGCAAGGAATTCAACCCCAGGAAACCCTAAGCTTGTAGCACACTGCAAAGTAGCTCAGGCCTACCAAATCCTGTCACTGAACTTGAAAGCAGACCCTCTCCTGCAGACAACCCAAGGGTCCGCCACAAGCTGGCCACAGTGGGCACGGCCCTGCCCTCCTTAGAGCGTAGTAGCCACTTAGCAGCTCTCCACCCTCCCCAGTAACCAGGCTTTGACGTCACACTTGGTAGCCTGTCCCCAGCTTCCGGCCCAGTGCTTCAGCCCCCAGACTCTGCCTCGAGGAGGAGGACGTGCTCACCGCTGGTGTCACCTGTCCGTGCCTGTGCTCCACTGCTAGGACAGCAGACCCACGCTCGGGGGGGGGGGGCAGGGAGGGTAGCAGTGCCTCGGTCATCCTGGGGGCATTTAGATGCTGTGAAATTAAACTGTTCTAAGTGTACTTGTTTGAATTAACTGTATTGTAATATTATTTGTTGAATGTAGTAATTAGGTATTTATGAATATATGGCTGTAATTTCTGACAACATCCAAAAAATAAAATCTTCCTAAATCACGTTAAGAGGAAATCTTCCTTATGTTCCGGTCCGGCCCACAGAGGGCTCCGTCCCTGCAGCACAGTGACGCGAGGCCTTCGGCTGCACAAGCTGGCGGCTCCGAAGAGTGGGGCATTAGGGTGAGCTGGGAGGTGCCGCGGCCGCCCTGCATTAGCAAGCGCGCTCGTCCCGAGGCACCGGGTGCGATCAGCTGCCACCCCGGGCCCTGTCCACTGCCGGCCTTTGGTGCTCACACGGTAACCAGCACCTGCTGGACGGAGATGGGCAAGAGCCGGAGCAGAGCCAGTTAACGCTTGTGTGCAAATGCCAGGCAACACCACACTGGGGACTGCATGTGCGCACACAGCTCCCGAGATGCCACCTGCAGCTTCTGACACCCTGGATGCCGGGCCAGGAACATGCTGGTGACAGCACCCGCCACGCACTCTGGCACTGCTGTGGCACTTCGGTGAGGTCGTTTCTAAGGCACCTAACAGTTCCACAATGTACAGTTGAATAATTGCAGCAATTTTCTCCTGGAAAATGAAGTAGTTTCCCTCAAGCCACCGCTGTCCACGTCACAGGGCGCTTGCCCAGAGTCCGTCAGGAAGTCCTCGCAGCACTGCAGTCTGCCTTGCTCGACGCCCAGTTAACTTGTTCCTGACCTCCCTTCTCCATAGAGGACAAGACCGGCCACCACCGAGCACTGTCTGCAGCGTGCGCGGGTGGCTGCCCCACACTGTCACCTGCAGCAGAGCATGCCTTTTCCTTGGTGGCTGTACAGGACAGAGACCAACACAGTCCAGCTGAGCACACTTTTATTGTGGACTGAGACTTGGTGACCAACAATGATCTGCAATACTGGCCATTCACTGGCCATCGTCCTGTGTGAGCCATGTCTCCAAGAGATTGTAACTTCAGTCAAGAAAACAAGATCAAGAAAGAAAAACTGGGGCCAGGGATGTAGCTCAGCCACATGGCTCCTGCCTGGCGAGCACAGGCCGAGTTTATGAGCCCAAAAAAAGCCCCTGGCCACATCACCACTGTTGTGTGTCCCCCCGCTGACGCTGGGCACACGGCAGCCCGGCAGCCCTGCCAGGGGGAACCTGCTCGGCCGGAGCTGCTCCCAGCCCCGGAAGGAAGGTGGGCGCCTGGGACGGGTGGGGACCGAGCTCTGCACACTCACGCTCCTTGCTCAGCTGTTGGTTAACCTCACTCCGGGAACCAGCACACCTCTCCCGCACGCACGTTCAGAAAGGTCACAACTCAGTGCCGTGAGCGCCTCTGTCCCGCTGAGGCGCCAGCGACAGTGGTGGCCTTGCTCTAAAGGTCCTGTGATGCGGCAGTCTCGGGGGGCCGCGGGCCAGAGCGCAGCTTGTGCATGTGGCGGAGCGCTGCGGTGAGGAAGGCGCCACCGGTGCTGATCTCCAGCAGGGTCAGGTTGTCCAGCTGGAACGGAAGACACACCAGGTGGCCAAGGGGCTTGGGGCTTTGAGGAGAAGCCAAGCTTGGCTGAGTAGCAGTGAAGACCACCATCTTTTGGTGGCAGCAGCGGGTGTAGTGGGGTGCAGAGGGCCAACTCCAGGGCCCTGCATGTTTTCACCCTGCCTGCAGCAGCCAGGGCTCCCCACCGCCCGCCCACCCACCAGCACCCCCCCCCAACCCTGCGCACAGTCTCCCCCCCCCACCACCGCGGCTACCTTGGCGTGAGCCTCCTGCTGCCGCACGAAGCTGTCAGCGGACACCCGGAGCTTGGCCATGCGCGTGTCCCACAGATCCTTGACCAGGGTCCGGACCGCATCTGCTCGGGGGATGTTGTCTGCAGCGCTACAAGGAAAAGGCCACCACCAGATAGGTGCAGTCCCGAGGCCTGGTTGCCGCCCAGGCTTAGGCGGGAGCTCGTCTGCAGGGGAGCCTGCCGGTGACACGCACGGCCCACACTGCCCACGCTGCCCACCCTGCGGCCCCTGCTGCCCAGGACTCCAGGTGATTCCAGCCCAGGGCCCAGGAAGTGGGCTCCGCGGCTGACGGCCTCCTGTCTGTCCCAACTTCAGCTGGAACTGGCTTCGGGGCTGGCGCAGAGGTCGCACCTGCTGGGGCTCCTTAGTCACGGCCAAGGGCAGATCTCTGCTCCCCCAGAGCACTGGGAAAGCAACCTCCACCTGTCTGCTCAGCAGCTGGCACAGCACCTCCACTCGCTGAAAGCCCCGGGGACAGCGACACCCCCCACCCGAGAAAACAATAGCTATGCGCAGAGCGTGGTGGCGCACACCTGTGATCACAGCACCCTGGAAGGTGGGGCAGGAACACAAATTCGAACCCGTCCCGGGCAACTTAGTGCCACCCTGTCTCAACTAATACAAAGAGCTGGGCACGGTCCAGTGGGAAGGCCGTGGGTTCAACCCCCAGCACTGCAAAGACCAAGCTACAAAAAGAACAGAAGAAACGATAGACCGCACAGGCAGCAGGCAGTCGGCTCCACAATAAGGTTCCGAGTGAAAGTTTGAAGTCGGAGGCCAGCGACAGTTTCCCTCTGTGAGGTATTTTAGACCCCTCTTTGAAGACAGACAAACCAGGAATGAAAGCGGAGGCGAACACCGCCACCACGGAGCACTCTGAGCGAGATTCTTTTCTCCACATGCAGTAATTAACTCAGGACTGGTAGGTGGCCCAGCCGCGCTATGAAATTCACAGAGTGACCAGCAGGCTGAAGAACAAAGGACCCCAGGTCCTGTCAACTGCACAGCGGAACAGAGGGAAAATGAGGTCCCCTGTCCAATGAGTTACAGCACACGGGCACCGACACAAAGCGCAGGTAAAGGGCGCGTCACAGGTGCACTGCAGGGCTCCGGCGGGCGACCCGACCTGTGACTCAGTCTGCCTTCCGGACTCTCCCCGGGCCCCCCAGCAGCGGAGTCCCAGACCCTCTCAGACCCCCACCCCTGCCCGGCCCCCGCTCCAGCTGTGCCCCAGGCTGTGCCCGCCGCCTCTCCCCACCAGCCCCCTCCTAGAGCTTGCTACCGGACAAGAGCTGCTGCTGCACTGTCCAGCTGGGCCAACAGACTGCCCGCACTGACCGGCCATGCGGTAGTTCTCCCAGACCAGGGCTCCAGCCTGCGGTGCAGCAGGGGCGCTGCTGCTTCTCAGGCTGCATCAGGGCCGAGGCAAGGTGGGCCTCACCCTTTGCCACTGTGGGGCAGTACACAGCACCTCTCCGGTTTTCAGTTCTGGTCCTGCTCTGGAGCTCAGCAACCCCAGATGTTCAGGGAGCTTCAAGAGCCAGACATTTTGCAAGCTACATTCCAAGTACCTCTCAGTCAAAACTGTCCACACTCACACGTCCTCTACAAACTTCCCACATTCATTCAACAAATATGCAACTAGGTAACCACGGTAAAGACAAAGCATTTGAAACACAGTCCTTACACATTTAGAACAGGTGTGGGTGTGTGCATGTGCACATAACAGCACAGGAAATGATTAGAAAAGTGCAAACACAACGCACACCCTCCAGCCAGGAGGGAAACCTAGAGACACCTTTCACCCTAAAGCAGAGGAGGTGACGGGGAGCAAGAAACTACGGGCCCTATGTGCAAGGTCACAAGGACCCAGTATGTCGAAAGACACGGCCAAGGAGGGCGTGGTGGCATGCACCTGGGTCCCAGCAACTCAAGAGGCTGAGGCAGGCGATTACCCGAGCCCAGTTCAAGACCAACCTGAGCAACACAGCAAGAACAAGTGTCAAAAGAAAAGGGTCTGCAGAAACGGGACCATATAACACTGGACCCTCCAGCCATGCAGGGAGTCACTAGAGAAAGCTGTGACATGGGAAAGAGAAATACTCCCAGCTGTGCAGGGCTCAGATCACCAGTCAGAGCCTCTTATCCAGGGAGCTCCAGCTACCACACACAGGGGCAACCAGTTCAGCTGCAGGAGGATGACTTGTGGGGTCCCTGCCGCACTGTTAGCCTGAGGAGGCTTTCCCAGTCGCTCAGCACACAGACAAGTGTCAGCCCGCTGCCCGCTTTTGCAGATACACAAAGAACTCGGGATCTGCTGGGTCTGATCCCAGCATGAGGGAGGCTGAGGCAGCAGGATCAGCAAGATTTTGAGGCCAGTGTGAACCCACACTGTAAGGCCAACCCGGAACACACAGCGAGATCGGGTCTCAACAAAACAAAGAAAAAGAACTCAGACCCACACGCTCTCAAAGGAAAAAAAATAAACACACAGGGGCCAAGCAGCACCAAACACTGGTGGATCATTAAGAAAGGCTCCCACTGGGCACGAGGATGTCGCACACTGGGTCCAACAGCAAGGTGGGGTTCAACAGATGAGAAGAACCAGGGAATCACTGGGGAGTGGAGAGGTAACACTGCGAAAGAAACAACAGAGAGAAGAGGCAGGCGGACAGGGAGCAACACGCGTGCGCCCGAGGGGGCCTCCAGGGACGATCAGAGAGTGGGTGGACAGCAGGGAGGGCCAGGCGGGGAGGGACGGGCCAATGCGCCGCGGGCACCGGCTCTACTCACTGACTGAGCAGGAGTTTGGTGAGCTCCATGTAGTAGGGGCTGGGCACTGGGGTGAAAGTTTCCTCCTGCCGTTCACGATCCCTCATCTTCTCCAACTTTTCTGAAATTCACAAGTTTACACATTTACTGTTACCACAGCCAAGGTAATGTTTAAACTTCCAAACTGATCAAATGCCAGTATCTGGTTGATGAACCAGCATTTTTAAAAAGGCAATCCCAAAAACAAAAACAGAGGGCCTCTCCCTGGGAATTCCTCAGTAACAGTTTTTGTTCTTTAACTCTAGGCCGCAAAATATATGCCCGAGTCAGAAATTCCTTCTCCAGGAACAAAATATTTTACCTTTGATGCAATACATGATCAATACAACCAGGGACTTGAGGATTGTGTTTATATTAAGCCTGGTTCGGAAGACAGAAGGCAACATACAGACACACCAGGGCCGTACAGGGCTTAGGGCAGCGATGGCGAACCCTTCAGGGACACACACCGCCCGCCGACACTGTCCGCTGGGCTTCAAAACGGCCTGCAGCGGGGCTCCAGCTGCAGCCCTCAGCCATCGCCAGGGCTGCGTCACCCCCCTGTACCCAGCTGAGGAGCTCGGTTCTTCCCGTGCTGGGGATGCAGCCCCAGCCACAGCGCAGCCCTGGGATCACCTTCCACCACCCGGGTCAGGTTATGCAACACTTCTGCTCGAAACTCCCCAATCCAAAAAGCCGGGGAAAAAACAAACTTCTGGCCAGGACAGGCACAACACGAGCCTCGGCCTGTGTCTCTTGTGGGATTATAACGGCTTTGGAGGACCAGGGTTTTTTGTGGGGGAGAAAGGGGGCTCTGAGAATTGAACCCAGAATCTTTCCCGAGCTGCAGCCACCCCCGCGCCTTTTTCCTTTCCCGCAGCATCTGACCATGGCATTAGATTGCCCAACTTGGACTCAAATTTGGGTTCCTCCTGCTGAGCCTCCCGCAGTGCTGGGATACAGGCTGTACCTCCCACTGGGCTGCAGTTCCCAATAAAATCAAGCACCAGCCACCTTATGACCCCGCAAGTGGACTCCAGGTGTGCACCTCCAGCAAGTGGACTCCAGGTGTGCACCTCCTCCCCGCAAAAAAAAAAAAAAAAAAAAAAAAAAAGGAAAAACAAAGAAAGAAAGAAGTCTACAAAAAGACCTGAACCAGAATTTCGTGACAGCCGTATTCAGAAAAGCCCAAAGCGGGAAACCCAGGTATCCACCAACACAGCCCCGGCCGCCCCGGTCCTCACCGACGTCCATCCAGGCCGGCGGCAGCAGGCGGCACTTCTGCCTCTGCTTCAGGCTGACGGCCAGCCACAGCGGCACGTCCACCGGCAGGCCGGGGTCGAACGGGCCCAGGTCCCCCTGCCGGGCGGGAGACGCGGGCGTCAGCGACCCGAAGCGAGCGCCGGGACAGAGCCCAGCTCGGCCCCGGGGTGCCCGGCCCGCGCCGCCCGCCGGAAGCCCGCGGCGCTCACTCCAATAAGGTAGATCTTGTCCAGACTGAAGTTAGGTATGATGGTAACCAGCTCCTTCTCGGCCAGGAACTCCACCTCGGCCGCGTCCATGGCGACACCACCCTCTAGCAGGAAACTCCACGAACCCCTCAGCTTCCGGAAGAGGCGCAGCGGACGCCGCTTTTCCCGCCACGGCGCGGGGCCCGCCCACGACCGGAAAATAGCCCCCGACGACCAATCGGAACATGGCACTCTCCGCAAGGCGGAGGGAGGTGCACACTGAGCTTGTTATGAGCCCGCGCATTGGTGAATCCGAGCGAGCCTGTGCGTCTACGGCCCCTAGCCGGGTGGGCGTGGCCTCTGCCCTCTGCCTCCCGCCCCGTCACGTGGTGCGGCCCAGCCAAATCCCTTGCCCTACACTCGCCCCTCCCGGCCCCGCCCCATCCCGTGCTCTGACCCGCCCCGCCCCGCCCTGGCCCCGCCCCCGATCCGCTGGCCCCTCCTCCCGGCCCATTCGCGCCGCGCGTGGGTCTGCTGATGCCAGCTTTGAGTTCTTTCACCTGCCCTAGGGCGCCTGCCTTCCGGGGGAGCTGCGGCTGGGGGTAAAGGGTGGCCGCACCTTTATCTGCCTTCCATCCTGGGCCGAGAGGAAATGCATTTTTGCATCAGCCTGCTGGGGCGCAGGACAAGGCCCGGCCTGTCCAGGCAGACAGCGGAATGGGGAGAGGGTTTTCCTGATCCTCTCTGCGCTGTAGTTCAGTCTGTAATAACGCAGCTCAGCCTTGTCCCGGTCACACTCAGGAAGAGGCTCTTAGCAAGCCCAGGTGAGGCTGCTGCAGGTGGGCCCGCAGGTGTTTGAGGCACCTGTCAGGGCCACGCTGGGCTCCTCTGGGAAGTACCAGTGAGATGTGAACCAGGCCCCGTGACACTGGCATTTGGTTGTAGCCCAGGAAAACCAGAGAGCGCTAGATTCTACTTTGAAGCCCTAACCACTGAGCCCTAAGAAAAGCAGAGAGGATGTGGGTTCCATCCTGCAGGAAAGCTGCCCTTCCTTAGCTAAGCCAGGGACCCCTTCCTGGCCCCCTGAAAGCTGCCCACTTGGGGCTGTGGGGACAGTGGTCTAAGCTCTGCCCATGCCTGCCTGGAAGCCACATCTGTCGTTTATCTGCATTGTCATCTGTAGATCCGAAGCTTTTACTGCATAAGGTCATGAATTAGGACAAACAGTGCCTCAATAAAAATCAGTAAAAGGTCACTCTGGGTGCTGTGTGGCAGAGGGTAGGTGACCACCACTGTGTGCAGTCAGTCTCCTTATCCTCAGAGCAGCGCATGAAGAAGGAGCCCAGGGAGGGGGCGTCAGCAGGAGGAGACGTTGCAGGCCACCTGGTCCCCGCTAGAATAGGATCTGCCTCCAGCTTCTGCGGGGCTCGAGCCAGCTTGTCTGGGTTTTGATTGATGGAGGAATGTTTTCTTGACTGGCAAATATTTGCATTCCCAAGTTGGCGAGGCTTCACTTCCTGGTCTGTGCAGGCTACAAAAGAGCAAAGGAAGAGCTTGGGGAAAGGCGCTGCTCAGAGACGCTGCCGCGGGGCCTCAGGATCCTCCGCTGTGCGGCAGGACAGTGCTGCCTCTCAGGCCACCAGGCTCCTGGGACGGCAGATGAGGCGCGGTGTGACCCCTAACTCCCGAGAGGCACGGCCACCACGGCCACAGCCAGACTGAGGGGCCTCGCCAGTTACACAAAGCACTCTACAGGCGGGGCTGGTGGTGCAGGCCTGTAATCCCAATACTTGGGAGGCTGAGGCAGGAAGATCACTGCAAATTGGATACCAGCCTCCAGAATAGGCAAATCCACAGGAATGGGAGGATGAGTGGTTGCTGGGGATGGAAGAGGGTGACTGTTACTGGGAGCTGGTTTCCTTCTAGGATGCTGGGAATGTGCTGGTATAGAAAGGGGTGATGGTTGCATAACCTAATTTACTACCATCACCCAAGTGTGCTTTTTTTTTTTTTTTTTTTGGTACCAGGGATCAAACTCACGACCTTGTGCTTGCCAGGCAGGTGATTGAGCCACTGAGCTAAATCCCCGGCCCCCCACTGTACACTTTTGAAGGATGGAATGTATCCCATGTGAAGTATTCCTCAAGATGTGTTTGGCTTTGTTTTGCAGCCCTGGGGACTGAACCCAGGACCCCACACTGACCTACATGCCCAGCCCCTTTTTATTTTGAGGCAGGGTCATTAAGCGACCCAGGTGGGGTTTAAACTTTCAGCCCTCCTGCGTCCTGCCCCCAGAGTGCCGTGATTAGAGGTGCAAAGGAAAAGGAACCAAGAGATAGAGGGAAGGGGAAGAAAGGGAAGGAGCAGAAAGCAGGTGATTACAAAACAATTAAAATGTTACACCCGTGCACCAACTCCCTGGGGATGTCACCTGTCCTGCAAGCCATACAGTACGTTAGTACCTATACTAATAAAACTATTTTTGTCCTTTCCGAGACAGGGTCTCACTCTGCAATGCAGGCTGGCCTGGAGCTCACTTTGTAGCCCAGGCTGGTCTCGAACTTGCAAGCATCCTCCTCCTGCAGCTTCCTGAGTGCTAGGATTATAAAAAGTTTATTTCGGGCTGGGGATTTAGCTCAGTGACGTAAGCACCTGCCTGGCAAGCTCAAGGTCATGAGTTCGATCCCTGGTACCAAAATAAATAAAAATTAAAAGCTTATTTCTTAAAGAGTCCCTAGGTCCCCAAAACACTACAGTAACCATCCTGAAACTGTGAGCCAATTTCTCCCCTAGGATATCAGCTTTGCTGTAGCTTAAGTTGCGTTAGAACTTAGAACACTCAAGTATTCACCAAAATGAGCCATCCATCCGGACAGCGAGCTTCCCGGGTGACTGAAATGCCCCGTAGCACCTGGTGTGGTGGCCCCACCCACAGGGAAACCGAGCAGTGGCTCATGCAGCACAGAGATGGGATGGGCACTGAGGGGCTCGGGAGGGTCCCTCACTGGCACTGGGGCCTGACATTGGGGCCACCAGCTCTTGGGACAAGGATGGCCCCAAGGGGCAGCACCTAGGTCATTCTGGGCTTGAGCCACTCGGGGGGACCCTGGGGTCCATGGCACGATGTGTTCCTTCAGCCTCTGACTTCCCAGACTTCCTCAGGGTGCAGGGGAGACCGGGGTGGAGAATTCCGGTCCCCAGAGGGTAGAGTTGCGGGCCTGGCCGCAGCCCTGGCAGAGGCAGAGCAGGACTGCGACGAGTGCCTGTGCCCCAGTCTGTGAGCTAGGCGGTCAGCCACCTCCTGCAGGGCGGCCTGCTGCGGTCTGGGCCCCGATGGGTGCCCATCGTTCAGCTGTTGCTGCTTGCAGAAGGAAACTGACTATCTGATCTGGGTGAGGGCCGTGCCATGTCTGACACTGCTGTGTCCAGTCCCTGGCCGTCCCTACCCCTGCGGTGGCAGCCGTCTCTGTGTCTCAGGAGGTGCTGCCCACCCTGCTGGCTGTGGGAGAAGTGAAGCTGGCCCTCAGGGTCCTGCCCTTGTCCCCTCCTTTTCAGGCCATCAAGGCACACAGCTAGGAGAGTGACCAGGGGATGATTGCATCAGAGAACCCCTGGGTGGATGGAGGAGCAATGTGGCAGCAGGCGGGACACCGGTGGTGGCCGGTGAGCAGAGGGGACACCAGCGAGCAGGATCTGTTTGCATTCAGCACCCTTTGGTGCACGAGCTGTGCCAGGAAGGGCGGACACAGGGAACCAATGGATCCGCACTCGGGGGCCACAGGTACCCCTGCCTGCCTGCCTGCAGCCCCCGGCCTGGCAGCGTCCTGCCCGCCCCGCAGCCCGGTAGCTCCTTGCAGGTGGTGGCTCCTGGGCCGGCGGGGGCCGCACGACAGCCCCACAGCGTGCGTTACTGCAGGGCCGGGCGCGCTCGCGTGCCTCCGACATGGTGTGAATACACTCTTGTGTCTTTTAGCCATCTGCTGCTGTCATTAAAAAATTACATTCCCATCTGTTTTCACACTTCTCTCCCCTCCCAGGCTCATTCCTGGAGGAAGGCAGCCTGCATCTCCAGCTGTAAGACCAGAACGTGCCCTCGTCCCTGGGACCCAGGAACTGTCCCTGGACACCTGCTCGGGACGAACGGGGCCTTGTCAGCCAGCGGGGCCACTGACTGTGACCCCTGCCCACCCGACACACCTGGGGGTCTTTCACAGCTTTAAGGAGCATCACTAGCAATGGACACAGACCTCGGTGACCACCCCAGAACAAACTCAGAGCAAGACTCGGGGAGCGAGGTTTTGGGTTCCTAGGTCTCCTCATTCTGGCCAGCCCCAAGAGGCATGCACCCCATCTCCAGGGCCTCCCCCCACCTCCTTCCCCGGCAATGACACGTGAGGCTCGTGTTGGAGCCAATGAACACCCGCATCATCACTCACGGTACAGGACTCGAAGCCCGCAGACCAGGGGTTCGGTCATCTGAGTGGGTGTCCCTTTTTATTTTCTTTTGTTTTTTTGAGACAGGGTCTCCCTATGCAGTTCAGGCCGGCCTCAAGCTCACTTTGTAGCCCAGGCTGGTCTTGAATTCACAGTGACCCTCCTGCCTCAGCCTCCTGAGTTCTGGGATTACAGGCCTGGGCCACCACAGCGAACTGTGTCCCTGATTTAACCTGCCACTCATATTCCCGTAGGCAGATGGCGGAAGCTGAGGCTCCCCAGGTGCTCCCCATCACCGGGCAGAGGGCATGCTGGGGGAATGCAGAGCCCAAGGAAGGGCCCCAGCGGAGTAGGTTTATCTGGAAGGCCAGGAGACAGCGGGCAAGCAGCGGGGCTGAGGCAGGCGCCCCGCAAGCGGCCAGCTCATGTTCCGAAGGCTGGCAGCCGGGGACTCACCTGACGGGGACCCTGTGGACACTATGAAGGCCGCCACTGCACGCGGGGTCCACGGGCCCTCAGCCGGAGCTGCTGCCGTTGGTCAGAGAGGGTGAGTGGCACAGGGGTCTGATCCCTGGCATGCCCTCTGCCCCGAACTCCATCCCCAGCACCACACACAAAAGAAAGCAATGTCCAGCCATTAACAGCAGTTACTCAGGAGGCTGAGGCAGGAGGCCGCACGTTCAGGACGCTGCCTCAGTAGTAACAATAGTAATAAATAACGGCTGGGAGCAGCCCTTGATCGGTGCCCAGCATGCGCCTGTGCACACACGCACGCGCGCACACACACACACACACACACCCCTGCAGACCGGCTGCAGACTCTGAGTCAAGATCCGAACTTGGACCCAGTCTCCACTGAGGGCACCCATCCCAGTGTGGACTCCTGTGCTGTGGGCCTGTGCCCAGTAGTGCCCAGACAAGGCTCAGGAAGTAACTGGATGCCAGGGCTGACCGTTCCAAGGTTATGGTTCGGGCCTAGAAATGACAAAGGGTTAAACCCTGGGCCAGGTTGAGCTGGTCCTCATGGAACAGCGTCCTTCCTAAGGACGGTGTCACAGTGCCAAGACTCTAATGGCACATTACTGTCTGGAGGCTGCCCCCACCTCTGAGGACCCAGGGACGTGGCTGGCCCCCGCAGGGCTGTGGAGGCCGCGCCCGGGCAGCCAGCCTCTCACCTCTGCCAGGCCCTGCAGGAGACTACGCCAAGAGGAGGTGGAAGTGGGCAGTGCTGTGTCAGCAGGGGCGGGCAGGTGGGCGTGTGCCAGGGATGACCCTAGGGTCTGCTCCGCAGCCCTGGTGCCTGCCACCCCACCCACACTCACTCCCAGGGTCGCAGGTCCTACAGCCCTGCTGCGCACCGAGGCCTGGAGAGGCAGGGCCCCACCTGACCGCGCTGATGTACCCTGGGACCCGCACAGCTGCTCTGAGTGGGCATCAGTCCTGCCCCACTTCGTGGGTGGAGAGGTCAGTGGCTTTCCCAGGTCACATGGCACAGGGGCATCTGGATGACCACGTGAAGCCAGGCTGGCAGCTGCTCTGCCCCTCGGGTCTCTTGGCTCCTAAGAAGGCGCCAAGGTCTCCCTTGTGGGGGCAGGGGGGTAAAGGATGGCAGGACCCACCCGAGCCAGGTCCTCCGAGTGCTGACTCCTCTGAGAGGCTGCCCGGGATGAAGCTCTGGCTGCAGGAGGCTCCAAATCTGGGGCTGGTGTGGATGCCCTGGGCCAGGATCTTGGTTCAGGAGAGGCAGGGAGCCCGCCACCCCTGCCCTGAAAGGCAGCCGGACAAGGAAACCTGGCCACGCAGCCCAGCCCCCACCCCCTGCAGGCGCTGGCAGCCCTGCACCCGTTGCCATGGGCACTAAAAGCCAGGCACACAGAGCGTGATCAGCCCCGGCAGGTAGCTGAGCAGAGCCGGGGGAGGGGCGCCCCTCGGCCTGTGCAGCAGCCCCAAGCCTCAGTCCCAGCGTCCCCCCACTGAAGAGGAAGCAGCTGTCAGGTCTGCTCCATTTACACCTTGAGGGGGACTGGAAAGGGGAATCCCTAGAGGGAGGGGGGCAGGGAGGCAGACTGAGGGTGGCCGTGGGACCCTGGAACCCCAGACCACCTCCCAAATCACTCTGTGCACCCAAATCTTGGCTTAGGCGCTGCCTCTGGGGACCACGGGGAAACCAAGCTGCACACACCAAGGGCAGCGTGCTCTGCGGGGACGCGGGGACACCGGGGACTCGGTGTCCTCCTGGACACCACATGCTGGCTCCGTCCTGGAGATGCGCTGTCACCAGGCCCCACAGCCGGTGTCGGAGCGGGCACTGAGCAAGGCTGAGGCTGGGCACTCCCCCAGCGGTGGCCAGCACTCTCCAGCCCACTGCCACGACCCATGACCCAGGACCAACTGAGAAGTGGGAGTCCCCATTCCTTAGGGACTCTCTTTATTTACAATGCAAAAAAACTTATCAGTCGCCCTTGGGCCTGTGTCAGGATCTGTAAAACAACTCTTAAAAAACAGGTCCGCTCCTCTCCTGAGAAGTCCTTGGTGATGACCTTGGGGCAGGGCTCTGGGTGGTGTCTGTCTGGGAGCCACCTTGCCCCTTGCTGCTGGCAGTGTCACTGTGGTTGCGGGCAGGGGCTCCTCACATGGGCACCTGGGGCCCAGCAGCCACGTGGAGGCATCAAGCTGGCCGGTCTGTCCCCTGGCCAGTGGTCCCGAGCCAGCGTCCCGGCTCACCCTGCCACCTGCTGGTCAGGGCAGCTTCTGGGTCCCCCTTCAGCTGCTGAGCACATCTGCCCCAGGCATCGGAGGCCTGAATACGGAGCCAGGTGCAGCGGAGCTGCCAGGCAGATCCTTCTGGGACCACTCCTCACACCTCTGGGTCCAGTTCCGCGTCGTCTGGGCAAGACCCCGTCTCATCCAGCCAGTCTAGGAGCAAGAGGGGTCATGTCAGGAGGGGCCCCTTGCGCGCTGCGGCCAGGCCCAGGGTCCCCCGCTGTGGTGTTCCCAGAGGCTGAGAGGGTCCCTGGGTGCTGATCTTAGGGTTCCCCCTGCCTATTCCCTGGTTCAACCTCCAGTGTCCTGGCGGAGGCCTGCACCTGAGCCCAGCTGGGCTCGATGCTCAGCCTTTTCCTGGAGAGCAGGGGAGACCAGTACCCCAGGTTTTTTTGGTTTTTGTTTTTTGTCTTTTTGAGACAGCATCTCACCATGCAGTCCAGGCTGGCCTTGAGCTCACTTTGTAGCTCAGGCTGGTCTCAAACTCACAAGGATCCTCCTGCCTCAGCCTCCAGAGTGCTGGGATTACAGGCAAGCACCACTACACCCGGCTCCCCAGGTTTTACTGAGGAGTCAAAGCCCAGGAAGGGGTCAAGGCTTTGCTGCTTGGACCTCTGAGTGCAATCAAGTGTTGTGCACGGAATGGGGCAGGTGTGGTTCAGGGTTGAGCTGCTCGGTGCCCAAGGCCTGTCCTCCTGCGGTCACTCCCAAGGGACACCTGTGGGCTCACTCTGGAGTTGGCTACCCCTGAACTCAAAGGGCTCACAGACCCTAGAGAGCAGCCACACGCTTCCCCTGTGCCAGCTCGTGTCAGAATTTAAAAACAAAGAAGGCTGGAGACAGAGCTCAGGATGAAGGCTCCGGGTTCAACACCCCGGGCCAGAAGAGTTTTCTCTGCAGGATCCCACCTTGGGCAAAACCGGGCGGCCTATCCCAGTCACCAAGGAGTGTGGTCCCACACCTGCCTGGCCTGGCCCGGGGTGTGCTGGCACCGTCCTCTGGCTGCCTAGTCCAGGCGGCAGTGCAGAATGGCCCATCCAGGTGCCATCCCTGGCTGTGCCTGCCCCTATCCTGCCGGCCTGTGCCCAACCCACGTCACCAGGCTGGCTGGGGCAGCCAGAGAGGGCACCTAGCCTGAGGCCCAAGGCCCAGGCCCCAGATCACACAGCTGGGTCTGAAACCCAACTCAGCCAAACATGGTGTCTTGGCCCCTCAGCTCCTCAGTTTACCCAGGACAAAACAGACAAAATCTGTACCTAATTCAGAGTCCCTGGGGGGCCCAGGGGGAAGCCTGCTGCCCACAGTGTGCAGGCTGCCTCCATCACCGTCACCACGCCCTCGCCGTGCCCATCATGGTGGCTGCCTCAGGTTGGGTGCAGCTGGCTCCATACGTTTTCTCGGGACCAGGGGAGCAGCTGTCCATCGACTCCGATGTCCCCAGGGAGTGGTAGGCAGGCTCCTGGCCTGGGACTGGGGCCACCCTCTGCACCCAGGGCCTCTGAAGCCGGGTACAGCTGCCTCCACACCTGTCCTGTCCACCCACAATGTGACCAACAAGATGGAGTGGCAGCCCCGCTGGCAGAGTGGGTAGTCCATCAATCTCCCTGGCCACGGATGAAAACCCACCCACCCAGCCCTGCCCACCTCTGCCCCGCTGTAGCCAGGGTGGCCAGCTAAGTGCTTACCCTGCCCCATCTGCTGGGCAGGGCCCACCATGGACATCCCTGCACCGGACCCCACGTTCCAGTGTACTGGGCAGCGGGGCCCCGGCTCCCCTGCAGTGCTCACCTGTCTGGGAGGCGTCCCTGGGCAACACCGTGCCCGTGGGCGTCGGGGGTGTCACGATGATGTCAGGCACGGCCAGGTGCTTGTTACTCAGGACCGGGGCCTCGTCGTGGCTGCCACTGGCACTGACGCACATCTTAAAGCCTGGACGCACAGGACAGGGCAGGGTCAGTGCCGCCGGGTCCTGCTGCCCACCTGCCCTCTCAGCCCAGGGCGTCACCGTTCCTGCTTCACAGATGGGAAAACGGAGGTGCAGGAAGCCTCAGGGACCCCTCTGCAGCCTGCACACTCAAGGCAGGGTCTCGCTGTCTCCTGTCACAGCGGGAGGGACACAGGTGGATCCGAACCAGCACCGAGCCCCGCCCAACCTGGGCTGTTCCCGTGGTCCCACCTCCCCGCAGACTGGCAGACTGTCTCCTAGGGGTCTGCGCTCTCCTTCTGAATGCTCTAAGTTCACCAAGGCAACCACTGGCCCAGGATCATCCCGGCGTCTCCTGGAACAGGGTTTGCTTTGTTGTTTAGTACGGGAGATTGGACCTGGGCTGTCACACTGTGTTCCATCCCTGGCCATTTTTTGTGTACCAGTAATCGAACTCAGGACCTTGTGCTTGCCAGGGAGGTGCGTGACACTGAGCCACATCCCTGGCCCAACCCTTTTAAAATCTGCTTATTTTCAGACAGTGCCAGGTTTAAGGCACTCAGTTGTCCAGCCTGGGCTTGAACTCTCCACCCTCCTGCTTCAGCCTCTTGAGAGTGCTGGGATGACAGGTGTGGGCCACCGTGGCCGGCTGGGTTCTTTAACAGACCCGGGCTGCCCGGGTTCTCAGCCCTCTAGCATCAATTTGTGCTTTTCCAGGGAGGTCCGCTCTCTCTGCATAGCTGAGTCCACGAGCTCGGCTCGCCCACGAACACACATAGGCCACCTGGCCACACCCAGCTGCCATCAGGTGCCTGCACTGCCACCAGCTTCCTGCGCTCCTCCCAGCCCGCCTCAGCCTCCACACCTGGGCAGCCACGGCCTCGGTGCCCACGCTGCAGACCCCCCACCATCGGTGGCCCCTGCCTGCCTCTCCCAGGCCTGTTCCTACCTGCAGCTCTGCGTCCTGCCCAGAGCACTCAGAGGGCCCACTGGCAGCGTTCCTCAAAGTCCCTGCTCTGTCCAGAGTTCGGGAATCACCCCGTCTGGCTGCGGCCTGAACCCCACCCCCTCGCGGGGAGACACACTGCCCTGCACACCGGGGCAGTGAAGGCTCTAAGTCCCACGGGAAGGTTTGCATCTGGGCTCTGCCCTGCCCTTTCCAAACTTAGACAAGCCCGGAGTCCACTGCTGGTGGACACCTGTTGGCTGCCCTCAGAGCCCTGAATCAAGCAAGATATTCTGGGAAACGCTGAGCCTGGGCCGGTCAGCATCCCAGGCCCACTTTTAGCCCTCGACATCTCGCTTCATCTGCGGCCACCTGCCCACCTGTTCCCCAGATCCACCAGCCTCCCAGACCCCTCACACCGCAGCAGGCACTGGCTGTGCCCCAGCCTGGGATGTGCTATCTTCCCTTATCAGGGTAATGAGCTCTTATGTATCCTTCAAAGCCCACAACGACAGGCCCCGTTTTGGGGAAGATGCCTGCCTGCTGGTTATGTCGGCAAACCGGGGACCACAAAGGGCAATGAGTCCCCCACATGTAAAAGCTGCCCAGGGCAGTTGGGTCTGCACCCCACCAGAGGCGCTGGCCTCATTTGGGCGCCTCTTGGAGCCCCAGCTTTCTGAGAGGAGTCCTGGTGACCACTTCTGACTGGGGCCATGGCACAGGTCCCCTCAGCCTCTGCAGCTGCCCTCGGGCACAAGGCCGTGGAGGTCAGCAGTGCAGCTTCGCCCCCACAGAGCTTCCTGAAAGCAGGTGGCAGTGGGCACCCAGGACAACCTCGGAAGCGGCTCTGGGCTGACCTGTTCCTGCCCGGACGCAGGACTTCAGGAGTGGAGCATGGTGATGCCCAGCGTCTCCTGGCCCTGACCCAAGGACCTGGAGCCTCCTGCTGCATGCAGTGTGTGGTGTGCATGGGTGGCGCGTGGCCTTGTGGGCGGAGGTGACTGCTCTGCCTTCTCTGAAGGCTTCCAGGAAGCCCCTCCAGAGGGGTGCTAATGAGCTCACTCGGGCAGGGGCCTCCAGCGTGGCCCCCAGAAAACCCTGGCAGAAAGCCAGCCTCCTCCCGGCCACACGGGCATTCCACAGTGGACAAAGCCACAAGCTCCATCCGCAAGCCTTGGTCCCTCCTGAGCCTGGGGTGGGCAGGGGTGGGGGTGGGGAGGAGCTGGGAGGGGAGGGAGGCCGAGCGGCAGAAGGGGCCGCTCAGGGGATCAAACTGACTCTGGGGATTAAAAACCAAACGCCAGCCCAGCCCCAGACAAGGAGCTGGTCTGTGTGCAGGGCAGGACAGTTATTTGTTAATTATGTGCCTGCCTTGGCCTATTAAAAGCCTATTTCCTGAGGGGCAGGGCTTGGTTGGCTGGGATTCCAGCCTTGGGGGGGCTCGAGGTGGGGACCCAGGCCCACGGGAGACCCCTGGCACAGGAGCCCACGCAGGAGGCCGTGGGGAGCCGGAAGGGAGCGTTCGTGGAGGGCAGGCATCCAGCTGGGTCCCACGCTGCAGTCCTTCGCAAGGGGCAGAGCCCTGCACAAGCAGACCCAGAAGTGGGGTGCTGGCCCCCCTACCCCTGCAGGGGCGCAGCTCGGAGCCTGGCTGCGCCTCTGTTCCTGCCAGGGCCTGGCGTGGGCTCGGCTGCCACTGGCATCACCACGATGTGTGGCCAACTTCCCACACCGCTGATTTGGGTCTTCCCGGGCCCTGAGGTGGGGGTGACTCTGACAGCCAGGGTGGGGACCCCTCAGCCAGGGGCTCTGCAGGAACAGGTGGTGCTACTGTCTGTGCCTCAGTTTCCCTGACTATAAAATGAAGCCATGACAACTGTGGGGATGGCATGAGTGGGGCGGGGTCCATGGGGCAGTGGTCCAGGATGGTCCAGCTGGCTGGGGCAGCAGAGGTGGACCTGGGGTATGGAGTTGGGGTACAGGTCTGACTCCCATCTAGCCACCACCCCTCCCCAGGCCTCCTGCAGCTGGTCTGAGCTGGGCCTGTGCACTTACCACCATGTCCATCCTGCCGAGGCCAGCGCGGAGGTAGCCAGCAGGGCAGGACTCACCCCTCTTTGTGACACCCAGCTTCTCATTCTGGGCCAGGCGAGTTCGTGCCTGAGACCCTGCACTGGGAGCCTTAGGCCTTTGGGGCCAGGACACCATTGCTAGGCCAGCACTCAGCATGCCCCAGGCCACCCAGTGGCCACCACACACAAGCGCAGGCCTGCCCGGCTTTGTGGCTCACCGGTGCCCTCTCGTGCTCCTCTGGGGAGCAGCAGCAGCCACCTGAAGCCAGGCTCCGGGCTCGCGTCCCCTGGGGTGGAGGCACAGCCTTGGCTCTGCGCTTTGCCTCCTGTCACTGGGGCGGACGGCAGAGCCAGGTGGGGCTGCACGGTGCCAGCTGGCTCCTCCCCGATCCACGCACGGCAGCCATCAGGCACAGGCACAGGCTCAGGCAGCCCCCGGGCCACGCCCAGCACTCGGAGCGCCCGGGGGAAGGAGGGACCGAGCCTGCCTGCGGCCTGGGCGCCAGTCTTCCCACGTGCGGAGTCAGTGCTGTCCCCAGCATGAGCCTCGGGGAGGCCACACGGGTGTGGGGGGGCAGCGGCCGGCACCCTGCGCGGCCACCGGGAATCCACGCTGTCCACGCAGCCCTGCTGCTTTGTTTTTGTGGAGCTGGGCATCGAACCCAGGGCCTGGTGCATGCAAGGCAAGAGCTCTGCATGGAGTCCAAAGCCCAAAGGGCCAGCTGGAACCAACAGGGAGGGTACACGAGGCCGAGCTTTGAGGACAGGGTCACCGGAGGCCGGCCCCAGGGGCCCCGGGACAGGACTCCACACGTCTACCTCCCAAGGCAGAGAGAGCTTAGGGGCTGTGCGTGGCGCCCACCAGGATCTGACACACAGCCTAGCCTCCACGGAGCTTCAGGCGCAAGGACACAGGCGGGGTCATCCACAGTGGGAAGGGGGACAGCTGCGTTGCCAGGCCCATCACGGAGGGGCGGCAGGAGAGACAGAGGGGTGCAGCTGCGGCAGGTGCAAGGGCCCTGGGGCAGTACAATGGCACCAAGTGAGGGCTGGCCTGCACTCTCTGAGAGATGAGCAAGTGTCTGGCTGGAGTGGGGAGTCTTTCAAAACACAGACCGAATAATGCCTGCAAGCGCTCCAGATGCCGTTCATCTTTTTTCTTTTTTTAATTCCAATTACAGGGAAAGCCTGTGTCATTACAGATGAGCCTGGGCAGCTCTGGAGGTTTTACCTTTTCAAGGCAGCCGGGGCTCAACAGAGCCGGCAGTGGAGATTTTAAATCTCTTTTTAATTAAGGAAAAAGCCCCAGCTTGCGTCAGGGATGAGCTGCTGGCAGGAGTGCGGGGAGGGGGGGGCTGTGGCTCATGGGGGGCGGGTGCTCTGCTCGGCCCCTCACTAGCTGCCCTCCACAGTGGGACCCCCCTGCACCCCTGATCCTACCCCCCCTCAGAGGCTCCCCTGCCTCTGGCCCTCAGCCTACCCATCCCTAAAATGGGCACAAAGGCAGGCGAGGGCTACAGCAAAGACCACACACAGAGCCCCTGGCCACCCCCCAGGCATGCGAGCCCGGGGACCTCTGGCCTGGTCCAGCTGAACGTGGGCTGGCCTGTCGGCAGCAGGGTCCCAGCCCAAGCACTGCAGGAGGGCAGCAGCATCCCTGACCTCCGGCGCTGTCACCTCCCCAGCAGTGATAACCGAAGATGTCTCTAGATATGGCCAGGTGTCCTGGGGGACGGGCAGGGTGGGGGGCAGAGAAAGGTTCCCCAGTCCAGCCCAGGCCGTCCAGCTGTGTTTCAGTTTAAGGTGACTGTTTGGGGCGTGAGCTCCCTGCAGTATGTGGAGGCAGTCAGCCCTCGCTCACCTGAAGTTCAGGTGTGACAGCATCCTTCTCTGTGGTTTCTCTGGCACCACGTCACGGGTCTCGAGGGGAAGGGGACAGGGCGAATCCTCAGCCCTGAGACTCCCATGTGTAGCTGTCACTGATCAT